ATAACATTTGTCTTTTACTTTAATTTAGTCATGGCCCTTGGAAGGTCGTAAATAAAATGTAACAAAATCTTAATGCTTTAGGTCTGGTAATATCTTTTTTGGTGACCTTTGCTGCCCCGTGACCCCAGGAATTCACCTCTTGACACCTTAAGCAGCCATATAAAACATAGATAAAACCTTCAGCCGTGTCTTTGAAAACATGGAGTGACTGTGGAATGAAGAGGCACACCACTTTTAACTGTGTGACTTCACAGAGGTGAGCTGAGGAAAAAGCATCATAAATTATCTCACACAGTGGGAGGCATTGGAGACTTGGGTAAGAGCAGAGGTGATTGAGTGAGAAACAATGAATCTTAATACATCATGCTGCTCAGGAATGGTTCCCATGTGGTTGATATTCAGTTTTTACTTATTAAGGAAGCATGGATGGTTTTGGATTTTTTTCACTTTGATATTGTGGCTGATAACTGATATTTGCCAAAACTGACATCAAGATTTTAAATGCAGTTGTTGTAAAGCTCTCCAAACAACTTTCTAAAAAAAAATTACAAAATGTATTCATCCTGAATTTCATAGAATTTGTTGTACTTTTTATGATGATTGTGTAAACATAGCTGCATCTTGTATCTTAATTTCTCATTTATTTCAATTAGATTTTAATCATACATTTGATGCACTGAGGACAAACTGGCAATGGAACAGTGGAGAACATAACAGTAAATTATATTTTACCCTCAGCATTGTAGATGTTCATTCATTTATTCTCTTCATTTCAAACATAGCGTGGCTGTAACTGCATTTGCACCGGAAATTGTAATGTGTTGGTTTCCACCCATTTTGTGTGATGGCATCATAGGCCCAATGTGCTCTGACTGAGACCTCTTTGTAGCAGGTGGTGTGACAGAGACGTCACAAGTTGTTCATAGCATTTTCAGGCAAAAGGCCTATGTGTTTGAACACTTCAACTGTGCTGTAATGAAATGTGCTTGGCTATTTTTGAATTCCAGTTTTTATTTTCAGTGTAAATACCCCAATATTTGTACCCTGCCCTAAAACATACAACTACATATGGTCAACAACTAGAATGTAGCACTCTCCCACCATTTACAATATATGTAAGTTTTTATAGTTGTAATGATCAGCTCCTAAGGGTAAGTTTCCCCTTACATTTATCCCTAGAGCAGAATGTGCAGCATTAGTCACTCATGTATCCTGTCTATCAGGTTACTAATGCCCCATGTCAGGCATGCCAAGTTCATTTGTAAACACATATTTGTAAATACACATTTGTAAACGTACACAGCATCTATAGATTTATGAAAACTGGAAGACACCATGCTCTAAAGTTGCTGTTCTGGTTGGTTTTAATGCATTATATTTATTACATTACATTGTAATACTCTGTATCTATAAAGACTCCAAAACTCCCCCAAAAGAAATCATGTATCTTACTTTGGACATGAGAACATAATATTGTAGTAAAATGGTATGTATTATATCTTGGTGGTGACTAATTTTAAAGGCATTTGAGCAGAGAAATGTCCCAACTCTAACCTCAGAAATGATAATTATGAAATCCTCTATGACTGCTTGATGTTGTTTTTCTTAGCAGTAAACAGCCCTGTTGCACGTGGTATGATCATACATTTTAAGAAGTTTCAGCCCTCCAACAAAATGGCAGAATGTGTGACAACCATGGTGACAACATGCAAAACAAATATTCTTTGTGTGTGGGGGTACATTTGGAGTAATTCACTTGCAGTAATGTGGCTCTCAATATATGTGTCATTATTCAAATGAAATTATATTTGTCCAACAAAAGCAATGTTTTCAGAAAAAAACAGGAGACAAGTTGCATTTTTCAGAGAAGGAAGTTTTGATGAGGAAAGACAAATGACTGAATGTGCCATTTTTTTCAAGGTGTGTTGAAGGAAAAGTTCTCAAGTGAAATGGGGACATGTGGTTCATAAAAACCAAGTGTAAACATTATAATGGAACACTGAGGAAATGTAAATACACCACTAAAAGCTAAACTAAAAATATGACCAAACATGGCTAAAATAAGCCTGAGTTCTGTAAACTTTAAACAATGGATTCTTATAATCAACAAGGCATCATATGATTCATTTTTTTCATAACTGCATTAGTGAATGCCTTCAACAGATGTGTGCATGTTGAGGACACAGTAGCAGCACACCTGGCCTAAAAAGACCTTGCCTTGTTTACGCTCTACACAGAAGCAGTTGTGTTAGTCAGTCAGTCAGAGGCACATACGTTAGTGATCTGTTATCCTTTCCACAGATGAAGTACGTGCAGATCTTTTAACTACACACAGAGCTCTGTAAAAGCTGCTTTATAGTTAACACCTGCTAATGGATGAGCACAGGGCTTTTTGTGCATATCCCCTTCTTTTTTCCCATTTCACACACCAGCACCTCCTGTCGTAAAGACTCAATACTGAACAGTTTTCCCTATACTCATAGCATGGACACCACCACCACTCCAAATGCACACACATGAGTGTGTGCTGCAGCGTCTTTCTGCTGACTGCAGATCTCACTGAGGTACCCATACATCAGCAGTTTAAGAGTGAATGGCGATAAAGAGGGTGGGGGCACAGGGAGCCTTGGAGATTTCTGCTAATAGACAGAGATACATCTGAACATACAGCACGGAATAAGGCCAACTGGAGTAAAAAAAAAAAGAAGTAATTATTATTACAATTTTAATTTGCCCTTTCTTTATTATTTTGAAACCAGTACTCCTTTTCTTTTCTTTGTCTAATCACAATAATACTAAAACATAAAATTATTAAGAGCCAAATTCATACTAGCTTAATTTTGTGTGAAGGGACACTTTGTAATGTGTGTAGAAAATGATGTAAGGAGAATATTTATTACACATTTCTATTGTCTGTTTCTTTTATGTGTGTGCGCTAGTGAGTGTGGAGTGGCTGCAGTGAGGTGTGTGTGTGTGTGTGTGTGTAAGGTGAATGCGCTCAGAGGGGAAATGCTGCACAGTAACAGTCTCAGTGAAGTTGTGGACTTTGATTGCTGCTGCCATGCTCTACAGTATGCTGCGTTCTTGCATTGCTGGATAACACATCTGCTGCCCAGTATGTATATGATCATTTACTATTCGCCGTATGTATCAGTTGAGTGCGGTAGGCTGGATGTGTGCAGAGCAAAAGGATGCAGGGCATTATCAGAGTTCTTGCAGAAAGGCACAGCATTGCAGATAGGAAATGTCCCAAGGATAGAAATGCCCTGTGTACTGCAGAGATTTGGCTCATGTATTTAACCTGACATTTCTTTGTACTTGTACTGTGTTTCTCTGCAGTGTGAACCATCTTCCACTTTGACCAAAGATGATTTCTTTGCCAATCTTAGTCTTGCTCTCAGTGGTTGCAGCTGACAGATCAGCCCTACAAACTCTCAGACAGTTAGATGCACTGTATCCTGAACTAGAGCACTCCAGGACCATCTATGTCGTAGGTGAGTTCATTCATAAGAAGCTGCAATCTCTGTTTTGTGTTTCCCACACTCTGCTGTGTCTTCTGTGTCCTCAGCTAATCAGAGCATTGTGACACCACTGATAAGGACACTATGTGGAGGGTCGTCAGCTCCGAGAGAACTTATCTTATACAAACGTCTGACTGACTGACTCACTCCGCACAGTTCCGAACTTTACAAATATACACTTGCAGTCAATCCTGTTGTACATAACTAAACAGCAGTAAGCAGAAAACTGTTTTGTATTACAAAGAAATAATCCTGTGACTATGCATATTAACTGTGAGACTCTGCAAAAGGTGAAAAATACAAGTGCTGCCCTCTAAGCACATGTCCAAAGTGAAATCAATGTGCCATTAGTTCAACAACTGGACCCTCCTGCTCCTGCATCACTCTGTTTTAAACATAGTCTGAATGACGAGGAGGATGATAGAAACTTGTCAGGATATTACATTTTATATTTACAAAAAGAACACAATATTCTAAGTTAGTAAACAGTTTAAATGTAACTGTTTTGCAGAGAATGGTCCTCGACTCTCTGTGTTGGCAGAGCCATCCAAAGTGATAACTAGACGAGGTGGGAATGTTACTTTACCATGTAAGATACACAGAGAAGAAAGTCTTCGACCCAGTCGCAAGATGAGGATCAAATGGACGAAGCTGACTTCTGACTATCTCAAAGAGGTTAGTTCTTCCATGAATCCTGCAGAGCATGATGTATGCACTGTGACAAAATATTTATTATTACTATTATTATTATTATTATTATTATTATTACTGTTTACATAATGTGTGTGAAAAAGATAGCTGAATGAGTTAATATGAAATATCATCTCATGAAATAGTTCCATATTTTAAGAGAGTGCTTCTCTGCCTCCAATGGGCTCTCAAAGAGCTTCATATCATGGACATAAGATTCATGATGTGAAGCAAGTGTCTTGCTCAAGGACACAACAACACCTGCTTTAGGCTAGGATTTGAACTGCTGAACTTCAGTGTAGATCAGTGTAGAAACAAATGAACAAATTATTATGAATACAATTAGCTGTCACTAATGGGCAGAAATACTGTATTACTGGTAACACTTGCTGGTGTGAAGACAGCGATCACTGTGTTTGTGAAGGTCTGAGTGAACCAATAACATTTGTTAACTTTGTTAAAGGTGGATGTTTTTGTTTCCATGGATTTTCACAAAAGAAGTTATGGACGTTTTCATGGGCGTGTCCATTTACTCAACACCTCTCCATCAGACGCATCGCTTGTCATCACAGAAATTTCCCTGGAGGATTATGGGAAATATAAATGTGAAGTTATTGATGGTTTGGAGGATGCAACAGCAGTAGTAGCTCTTGACCTAGAAGGTGTGAAATTTATCTTTTTTTTTTTTTTACTTTACTGCTGATACAGTATGATGCTCATACATCCTTGTTCTTGGATTGGTACCTAGGTGTTGTTTTTCCCTACTTTCCTCGCCTTGGTCGCTACAACCTCAATTACTACGATGCAGAGCGGGCTTGCCGTGACCAGGATGCCATTGTGGCCTCATTTGATCAGCTTTATGATGCTTGGAGAGGAGGCATGGACTGGTGCAATGCTGGCTGGCTTAGTGATGGCTCAGTACAGTATCCCATCACAACACCCAGAGAACCCTGTGGCGGAAGGAACACTGTACCAGGAGTACGCAACTATGGAGTACGGGACAAAGAGAAGAACCACTATGACGTTTTCTGCTTTACATCCCACTACAAAGGTAAAACAAATGTTCATGTTCCTGCTGAAATATAAATTGAAATACAAATATATATATTTTTTTTACAGAATGTGGATGTTTTTTTCTCATCTTAACCTAATGAAGGACACAATTTTATTGCTATGCCCCTCAGGTCGATTCTACTACTTGATCCAGCGTTCCAAACTTACTTATGATGAGGCAGTGCAAGCTTGCCAGAAGGATGGTGCTCAGATTGCCAAAGTGGGTCATATGTTTGCTGCGTGGAAGCTCCTTGGCTATGACCGCTGTGATGCAGGGTGGTTGGCTGATGGCAGTGTGCGTTACCCTATATCCCACCCTCGGCGCAGCCCCACTGAGGCTGCCGTGCGCTTCAGTGGTTTCCCTGACAAAAAGCACAAGCTCTATGGAGTGTACTGCTTCAAAGGCTCCAATTGAGACAAGTGCAAACTAAAGAGAAAAGAAGAGACTAGGTGAATAATGAAGGCCATATATGTCATAGCAACTAAACTGTGATGCCAATTTCATTGAAATGTTGAAAAATTGTGTTTCTGGTGCTTTATAATCTGAAATTCTGATGGATAGTTTACACATTCTATTTAAGGTCTTATTATTTTATCAATGCCTTTGAAGTTTTGAAAGGTAGCAGTAACATTCATATTAACTGTTACTGGTAAACAGACACAAGGAAGCCTTACAGAAACAAGTCTTATGGTTGCACTAAAACTTGGCACTTAATAGAACTGCAAGTACAACAAAGCCATGATTTTTAGCTGCTCACAACATTGAAAGAAAGGGACCTGGTCCTACTGTCTGTGACAACAAGGTGCTACTAACTGGTACTTTGTTTTAAATCCTCCTGTATTTTATTTTTATTATGGACCAAACATTAAGAACATATTTTAACTGATCGACAGGATCTAGCTGTTGTGAATACACCACACTAGCATCCATTACATTGTTTATTTCCTTTGATACTATTTTAATGTATATCAACGTTGTTATGTTCTCATGGTGTCTCTAACAAGTGTTATTTGTTTACTAAAACTAAACAAGTTTCACAGCCTATAAAATATACAACCCCCCTTTTTTACAGCACAAAAATATTGAAGGGAATAAAGGAATCTTTAGAGTAGTGTTTATGTAGTTTTAGTAGTTCTCATTCAGCAATACAACATGCCTGGCAATCGTAGGCTACGTAAAACCAATGGTAAGAATTGCTAAAACTTAGATAATATGTAACACTGAAACTAGATATTTTTGGCTGCATCTATAGCCTTGTGCATGAAAAAGCACACAGCATAGACTCAATCAACAAACTGCTATTTTTGATAAAAATTTGTTTATTTTAGTAAAAAACCAAATGTAGCCTTATACAGTTTGACATGACTTTTTCTTATATACAGTCACTGTAAACAAAACAGAGAAATACTATTCATGACCATGCCTAGTAGAAGCTATGACCTTAGCAATGCATATTGTTTGTCTGCAGAAAGAAGCCACTCACATTTACCATGATAAGAGAACTTCCTTTTTAGGCTAATACTTAAATAGTCCCATCTGGCCCTGGTAAACTCTGAGGTCATCCACTTTGGCTGTATTGATGTTTTCCTTGTCATTATCCTGGAAAAGCTAAGGATCAGTCGAATGAAGTGGTAATGTTATGGTCTTATCATTGAACAACCGCTTGATAAGCTCATGTAAAACAATGACGCAAGAGATAACATTATGATTTAATTAAACAAACTGCAAAAATGCTTCTTTTACTAGATCATGTAACAATTACTGGTTCAAAAAGAATGCTTTTGTATCAAAAAAACATGTCTTGTGAGAACAATAAAATAAGCCATGATTAGGTCTGTGTGTTTTGTATTGGGCTTTTCTTGGAGCTCAATTGCAGTTTTGATTATATCATGATTCCTGTATCTTTACATTGTCTTACACTTAGGTAAATACATTAATCTGCTTCTTAAGAAAGTTAACATAGAACTTTGAATTTACCTGTCATTCAGAGTATGACAGAAGCTGCCCAATAACAGGACTTGGTGGAGAAAAGAGTTTTTGTTTAAATGTAAAAATTAAACAGAAAATTTAAGAAAATAGCAAGATGACAAAAATGTTGTCACCATTCAGTTTTTATTCCAACATCACCCAGTCCTACCTATGAGCTTTCCCACTGCAGTTTTAAGGACATTTTCAGCGCATTGCTCTGCACCAAGGCGGGACTGTTTATGCTTCACAGTAATGTGTGCTCCATGTGTTTTCAAATGAGTTGGTTGTTGCACAATTCTTGCTCCAACTGTACAACCAGGCCATTCATGATCCTATAAGAACACTTTATTTGGACAAAATACAGATGACATGTTGTTTCTTTCATGTGCATGTATTAACTTGGAGCCTGTGAATAAACTGGGCAGGTTAAGAGTGCTCTCAAATATGTGTCAAGTACATTGAAAAATGAAAGATTCCAAACTAATATATTTTGAAGAAAAAAGGTAAAATAAGAGTTTCAAATTCACCATTTTATTGCACAAATATCTGACAGTGACAAAAGACAAAGACAGAGAGTAACTTGATTATGATAAGACTAACATACAAATAAGCTCTTGAGTCTTTACATAACTGCATGGACCTCCTGCAATTCTGCATATTTACTTTAAAAAATATATACATTTGGAATGGAAGAGGTGAAATAAATGAGTGTGACACCAAAGCTCTACTGACAGATTAGTTTCCATAAACAGTCACAATTTCACAGCTCAATTTAATACTGGTACAATACAACAGATCCCAGATCTGCGGGAAAGACCACCATTTGAAGCATTGACTGGTGAGGAAATAAAGACATTTGATTTGTGCATAAAACAAATTAGGTTCCTAAACATCGTTTCAGTAAACAGTAAGAATGACATCATTAGTCTCACAGTCCATTCAAAGATTGAATAAAATAATTTAAATTAAATGGCCTCGTATTTGCGGTATTGAAAACATTGAGCCTGTAAAGAACGTATTAAACATTCATACTTTCCCACAATGACACAGGCGATCCAGGCACATTACAGCTTACTGTAAAAAAGTATGGTTTTGTGTCACCTACAAACACACAGCTGTGCCTTGGTTTATTGTTACCCCTTAAATATTGTTCATGATCAAACTCCCTTCTTTGTTTAAAAAACACCTTTGTGTTGGATTTTGTATAAAACTTTTGCATAAAAAATTATATCAACTATAAAAATCAACACAATAATGTCTTAAAGTTAACATTTAATGTTTATACTCTTTGCATTCATCTATAAACAATTAAAAACCAGCCTAAACAGCTGTGATAATTTATCTAATATTTGGATTCTTTATTTCACAGAAGGCATTGAAGTTCACATTCTCCATGGAGCCGTCTTAAGCAGAAGTATGAGATCATGTGAGATAAAACACCTCACTGATGGGCTTAAAATGAGCCATATTTAAGAAAAATAACCCATATATTTTAGTGAGGCACTGAGACACAGACAGGAGTGTTTCTCTCCATTCATGCTCCTGAACCAAAGGTTAGAAACCCTAAACTCAAACCTGAGGTCAAGGTCCCATGTGCTCATTCTGAGCCTGGTTGTGAGGCTGCTGTTTCTTAAGAAGTTGCTGAAAAGGATTCCAGATTCGCTGAAAAATGCCATAATTATTTTGGTCTTGATTGTGTTTAGCATGGCTCTTTGTGATATGGAGGTGGTGGTTAAAGTGCTTGTTTAGATGCTGCTGGTTGTCTTTGTTGCGGTGTTTGATAGTCAAAGCCTTGTGGTACATGGCCGCTTGAAAAGAAACACACAGTTAAAATGTGGTCAACAACACACTATTGTTAATATGAAGAAAAGTAACTCACGACTTATGCAGGTGATTTTGGGGATGTCCCACTGGCCATTGGCCCGACAGCGTATGGTGGGAGTGTGTCTCTGGATGAAGCCCTGATTACAGTGATAACGCACCAATGAGTTGATCTCATAACGAGGCTTCAAGGCTCCAAACACTCGCGCGTCCTTTACAAGTGGAGGCTGGCCGCATGACACTGCAGGGAGTATCAAGTAATATAGACATGTTGTTGTTTTTTGTAAATAAAGACACTGTCTTTGGGGCTTGCTAGTACCTGTTCCCTTCTTGCATGTGAAAGTGAGGTGGTAGTTGCATGGTACATCATTCCACTGTCCTCCCTCATGCCAGATCATCACCACACAGTCCTCTCCAGACTGGAAAAAGCTGTCCGGCTGGTTGGGCCTCCAATGGTCATATTGCTGTCAAAATATAAATATTACATTATCATATACATATTTCATCCATTGATATTGGCATTTTGTATATTGTGTTAATGTAGACTTTTGAGCTGGTCACAATAAAAAATGTATTGCTTCAGTGAATTAGCTTCAAGATAATCCAAGATAAATAAATAACTAGCACAATGAAACACTTAAAGAATAATTAATTATCTATAATGAGTCGAAAGTGCTATATATTTTAGCTTGAATCTAGTCTTAAATTATGAGAAATAACAAAAAGTTCTGCAAAAATAGGTACACACAATAAGCATTAATGCCCAGAAATGTTGTTCCATGAATGAATGAATGAATGAATGAATGAATGAAAATTAGTTCTCAAACATTTTTCCTGGTTAAATCAAAAATAAATAAAATATTGTGAGGCTGACAAAACATCCTCCCAGGTTCCAGCTGTCCAAACAAAGTAGACACAGGTCGTCTGTCTGGTCTTTGTAGCTTCATTACAACCCCTTCACATGCCCTAATGTTGCAGAGTCCTGATTTGAATATTATGTCTTTTTTTTTTTTTTTTGAATAAAAATTTACCAATTACTGTGGCATAAAAGTTTATCAAAAAGTTACTGATCTGTTTACACTGAATTCGGCTGAGTTCCCCTCTCATGGTTCTATAATTCACAGTAAATATTACACATTTGTTACTAGCATCAGGGTTATGTAGTCTCCACCTATCCCCATGAGAAGAGACCTCAGTGCAAAGACAATCACTGATCTGTGTAATGCAAATTCACACCACAGGGAGGTGCTACAGGGATAACAAAAACATCTCTTAAAGACTGAGTGTTACATTCCTAAATGAAATATTTAAGCCTCATCATTATTAAGGAAATAAAGATAGCAAATTACTCGCTGTAAAGTTCATGTGCTTTGAAAGTTTAAAAAATGTTGAAGAACTCTGAGAACGGGGTGTGCCTCTATTCTGAAAGATAACACATGACAACTACAGGGTCCCCCCAGTCTTAAGTTTCTCATTGAATCTTGAACAGCTGATGGTTCCCAAGAGTGCACTGTGTGTGTGAAAATACGTCATTGGACCAGACGAAGAGCAGAAGTGACTTAACACTGTACAGCAAAACCCATAGGCCTGATTACACCATTTTAGTTACATTATCAAGGACTTTTATGGATTTGATAGTATAGCATGTTTGTTTTGGCCAATGTTGCTCTCATATTTAGGCAATTGGTGTGGTTTTGTGTTTACAATAGTAAAAATACTAATTGCTAGGTAATTCACAAGTAAGTAAAGCACTGTTATTTCAACGTTAAAAATGTTGCTTACATTAAATTAAAACATACTTTTTGTAGATTTGCTTATAATCAGCATTTCGTTAGAATATCATATTTGACCTAATGAGCAAATTATTCAGACTTTGACTACTTTGAGTGTTAGAGTGTTACCATTGGTCTGCCATCAGTCCATCTGAAGTCTCTCTCAAACATTTTGTCATTCAGGCCTATCCACTGGTAATCGCTGCCCAGCCCTGCAGATGATAAGTACAGTTACATTTCAAATAAATACAATGCACAGCTACAAAACTATCAAAAGTAGGCAGCAATGAAAAGTATTTGCAGTGAGGTTGATGAAAAACATTTATCATGATCTCAGACTTACGGTTTACAAATAGCTGTTCTTCATTTGACAGGATGCTGGTGAGGTGGGCGCCATGTAGTCGACACTCTCTTTCAGCTGAGTCCCAGGTCCGACGGTGAGTGAAATACTTGTAACAATGAGACTGGAATTTCTGCCAACCAAATCCACACAACTCTGTGTCTGCAGGAACAAATATTACAAGTAAGACATTTAGTATAAAATATGACTAAATATTTTTACAAGTAATATTAAGCTTATATGCACATTTATGATTTTTACATGTACTTTTACAATAATGCTATCTGTGTGTCTGGCTATGACAATGTTATTATGGATGTGTTTAAGGCATTCAATGGACAAGGTCTTTGTATTTGTACTACTACTGGCATTTGACAATACACCGTTGACAATATGCACATGGCTGTGCTTTGCTGTACATGATACAATACAGTTGGATTGGACAAAGCAACAATGACTATATTGTAAAAGTTCATGGCTGCAGTGGTCTAGCTGTGTACCCTTATGACGGCATCCCGTGTCCAGGCCCAGGTGGGACTAATGAACAAGCACTGACTCCTTGTGGCAACCAATCACTGATTTAAAAACAGATTCTAATAAAAGGTCTTAACAGGAGAAACTAGAGGCTGTATTTGGCATTGTTCATGTGCCATACAGCTGCAAATGCTTTCTAGCAAAAATAATGGGGACAATGTCCTATTTAGTTGTTGTTTCCAGTGGCAGCAACAAGAAGACAGCTGCACTTTATCTGACAGAACACAGACTATATCAGGCCTGGCAAACTGCACTGATAGGGCTTTGTGATGGTAAAAATCAAAAATAGAAATTGGGAAGTGAATTATCTGAATTATCTAAAAATGGGTGAGATAACAATGATGACAGTATCCCACATTTTGAGTACACAGAACTTATAATAGACCCTAACTGTATGCTCTCACTCTTTAAAAATTAAAAAACAAAGTTATTTATTTATTTATTTTTATTTAATTATAAAATTTTTCCCCATCCATGAATTCTAATAATGTTATTTAGAACAACACACTGGAAAAAGAGTATGGGGGACAAAATTACTGATTTTTGTGGCTCCATGGCCGTGTCTAGTTTTGTTGTTAATGAATGATGACAGATATATTGGGCCAGATGCTGAGGCTCACAGCTACAGAGCCAACACCCAGAGCAAAAGACCAAACGACAGGCCAAGTTACAGATTGTTGAAAAAAGAGACCATACATTTGTTTAATTCAGGCAGTTTCCCACAGATATTAAGTGATCAAATGACAGTTGGGTGATTCATATCTTAAAGTTAAGATGGAGAACAATGAATTCACTTAGGGCTGTGACAAAAATCGAAAGATCGAAAGATCGCAATCTCGATTATAAGGCAAGCGCATTTTAATCGACAGGTCTACAGCCAATCGTGTGGCAGTAAGAGCGTGTGGTGCTGAAGAGGATTTACACTCTTGTTGTGGCCTGAGCCACAGCGCGCCTCTTTATGTCTCCTCATGTGATGTGTTCACAAGTTTTGATTTAAATCTGCACAATTTGACTAAAAGTCTTCCTCTGTCTGCAGTGTGCCTGACCTAATTTAGCACACGGACATCGCACGTGTTTCTGTTGATAGCAGTAGCGCGCGTGCACGTGTGTCTGCCGCTAGCGGTAACGCTAGGGTGACCATATTTCCATTTGTGAAAACCCGGACACCTTACCGGGAGTGGCAGGTGGGGCCTCGACATTGAGCTACAGTCTTCCCTTGATATATCGCGGTTCACCTTTCCTGGTTTCATCGTTTCGAGGATTTTTTTTCTCTCTTAAGAGAGAGAACCCGAGCAGTTTGTCCGCAGAGCAAGCTCGATCAATTGCCGCTCTTAACTCCGTGAGGTGTGGAGCTGAGCCGGTCCTTTCTCCTGCGGTCACCTCCGAGCCCGTCCCGACAGTGAGTCCTGTTTCAGTTCTGGTTTAGTCCTGGTTTACTCCTGTTTTAGTCCTAGTTCAGTCCCGGTTTAGTCCTCCTCTTTAGTCCTGAAATCAGGCCTAGTTTAGTCCTGGGTTAGTCCTGGTTTAGTTTTGATTCAGTCCGTGGCGTAATCAGTGCAAAAGTTTAGTCCTGGTTTAGTTTTGATTCAGTCCGTGGCGTAATCAGTGCAAAAGTTTGATATCATCTCGGGTTAACTGGCGGGTGCAGTGCTGTACTGTGCAGGTGCAGGACTCTGCGCTGTAGGCTCCATTACGGAATAAATTAATCTTAGGTTCATTACATAAAGAAGGAGGAAAATAACATAAGGAAAACAGCAGTAGTAAGTTTTAAGAAGGATGCAAAAAGGGTTGTGCCTCTCCTGTCTGAAAAAAGTGTATAAAGTGTGTGGTGAGGGGGTTTAAAGCCTTAAAACAGATATAATAATTGTAAAATATAAAGTTGACTACTTTACGGATTTCTCCTACCGCGGGTTATTTTTTAGAACTTAACCCCCACGATAATCAAGGGAGCACTGTACTCTCACCTCACAATCTGTGCACATGGACTCCCACTTGTCCCGACCGGGACGGAAAACGGAGAATTTCTGGTACAAGTCATTGTTAAATGTGCATTTGTGCTTCGGCATGTTGCAGACTGACCGACTGTTTGTGTCTGCTCGCTCCTTCTGAGTCACTACGAGAGCTACGAGAGACCCTCACTTTAATGGCCCCATTGAACGGTAATGAAAACCCAGACATTTCCATCACTTAAAAAAAAACAAAACCCAAACCCCCAGACAGGATGCAAAAAACTGACATGTCCAGGGAAAAATGAACGTTTGGTCACCCTAGGTAACGCGCGCATGCATTATTGATAATGATGATGTCACACTTCCAGATGGGGGGGGCAAGAGACAGTGTTTCCTATTGATTACATTGTACTTTACCATAAAATATCCAAAAGGTAAATTTATAAATGTTGAACCTGAACATTTCTAGCAGTGTCTAGCAACAAAAAACTGCATTTTAACAATATTCATTTTAGCTGCTCCCCAAATTGTATTAAATAACATTGGTCTATAGAATGTTGTGATGCCATCTGAAATCCAGCAATATTGTACAAGCTCATTCCAAACATCTGTATTTCTCTGTAATTATTGGTCCTATCAACACAAAATAAAAACTGTATTGATCCTGATACCCTGGACTTTATGCCTGAAGTCTATGTGTGTTCATGTGTGTGTGCTTGGGTCCTAAATGAATGAAATAGGAGTGGGATGAGACGCAATTTCCACAAGACGATATTAGACCCGAGACTAGAAACAGATTTTGACATAATTTATAATAACTAAATAATAAAAGACATTTTGAGATTCAGTGGACTAACAATTTTAAGATTTTTATTTTTTTATTTTTTATACCACTGTAGAACTGCTTTTTGGAATTGTGGGATCTCAAGACTCACCAGCATTAACCATTTTTAGTCCAAACCAAATGTAAACTCAAACGTAAACTATCTCTCGAGATTTTGTAGCACAAGATCTTGTCCCATCCCTAGAATGAAACTCAAAGTACCTCTTGCAATATAGTGCTGTTATATACACTGACCTTGCTCACACAGCTCCCCTGCATAGCTGGGCAGGCAGAGGCAGGTGAAAGAGTTGACCCCATCCAGACAGGTGGCTCCGTTCAAACACGGGCTGGACTGGCACTCATCGACATCTGCACACACAAGCCTATATTAGTCCTCATTCGTCTGTCAGTATAGAGTCACTGGGATGTGTTCACTAAAGAACATGTCTTTATGAAGTCTGTTTGTACCAGTTTCACAGTGCTGCCCGCTGTATCCAGGTGCACAGACACACATGTTTTCAGAGCCTTTTTTGTAGCAGGAGCCGCCATTGAGACACAGACTTGAAGCGCATGGCAGCAGATCTGAATAGAGCACAGAAAATGAGAATTTAACCAAGATTAGCAGATCTGTACTTGCCCTGCAGTAAATTACTTTTAATGACAATATCACCAAAACACATTCCTGATGCATTGTCTGAATACTGTAATCACAATAATGCAAAAAATACAACATATTGAGATATACATTTTTGTTAATATAATTACAATTAATTGATTATACATTTTGACCTGGTTCTATAATATATGTCTAAAAAATCAGTCCTCAAATTTGATTTAAGTTTAAATGCATTAAATTCTGTAAGTCAAAGATGATTAAATACTTACCTTGTTAATAAAATCTATTCGTTCATATATATCTAGTCAGAACTGAAATTGATTTAGCTTCATGTTATTTTAGGTGCACAGTAATACAGCTTATTATTAAGCTTAGTTATTATTAAAATGTACCTCTGATATTGACAGTGCTGGCTTCCACAGAAAAGGTAGGGTGTGTGACTGCTTCTGGTTGCTCTATGGCTGCTCTCTCTGCTGGTATCTTAGGCTGGGACTCCAAAGGTGGCACCATCTCTCTATCGTACTCGTTGAAATCGTCTGGCAAAGGAGTAGCATCAGGATCTGGGATGAGAGCCCATGCAGGGACTGAGTTGGTGCTTTGGTCAAAGGTGTACAATGGAGGCATAGTGGAGTTGGAGACTCTGGTTGTGGACAGCACAGTTTGGTCCTCTGTGATAGTTTTGTGTGCTATTTCAGGATGAAGTGTTGTGGTGTCCAACTTGGCAGTAACTGTAGAATAAGTGATAGGATAATTTGAAGCAAGAGAGGATACTGGGGTCTGTTTTTGCAAGTGAGATTCCATTACTGTACCACTTGTTGCCACCAAAGAAGAATGTGTAGAGTGTTCGTGTGGCCCTGCCGTTGATGATAGCGAAGTAATAACATTTTTCCCAGAGAGTTCCACTTCTCCTTCCAAATGTTTAGAACTTGTCGTCACGGCTGTGGCATGTTGAACTAATGGTACTTCCATTATATCACCATCCATTTTAGGTAGGGATGTAAAGAAAATTGGTGAAAGAGTGCTTGTAAATCTACGCATCTCTAGGGGGTAACCATCCTGACCTGAAGTCTCCTCTTCTCCAGAGGTGGACCCTTCAAACTCCTCCGTTTGGACCTTGACGCTGGAGGTTGTGGTCATCAGGTCAGGGATTAAAGTGGTCACCTCAACTCCGCCCATCTCCGTCTCATCTGTCCTGACGTCTGACACAATGGCAGTAGGAAACACGCCACTCCCAGAACCTTCAAAGGAGGAATCTTCTGGCCCCTTGCCTCCTGACCCTTCCATGTCCTCGTATGTAGACAGGCCTTTAGGGAAGTCCACCTGGGACGAGACCAAGCCTGGAGAAGTGATTGGTGCAGCAGTGTATGTCAGTGAGGTGTTAGCTTCAGGACTTGTTGGCTGCTCTTCAGAAGCATGATCACCATTGGTACCAGTAGAGGGAGAGTTGTCAGTATTAGTCTTTGTATGCACCTCAATAGCTCCATAGTCAAAAGGAGTGACAGTTTCAACATCATCCACATCCTCCTCTTGTTCCTTTTCAATCTGAACAGGTGTGGCAATTTCAAACTGATCTCCTCTGGCCTCTTCAGGAAGATCAGGTTTAAATGTCACCTGAAGAAATACAAGTTATACAAAGATAGATATACAAGATATAGAAATACTACTTAATAAGACTATTTATAACAAAGTAAGGTGCAGCTGCACAGTTAAATGTTCAATTAATCCTTTGTGATCTGTCATAGAACAAGCCTGCCTGGGCATTATTTTACATTTACATTTTTTGCATTCTGTAATGCAGTTATTAGTAGTATAAAGTTGTATTATGCACTTGAGCAGCACTTGAATCCATTCAATATACAATATTCCAAAAAACATGTTTGCCATTTCAAATAACAAAAATTCCCAAGAAATCACAAAAAATGAAATCATTCCATATTTTTACATGTCCCAAATGCTGAAATTCCCATTATTCCCTAATTATTATTATTTTTTTAACCAGACAAAAAGTTATTTGAAGTTTCTACCTGTATACTTTGAGATAAATATTTTTAGGAATATTAATATTGCTGACAATGGAATCACAAAGGAAATATAATCTAAAGCATACATGAAATACATTGAAGAGCTCAAATTATTTTATGTGATACCTCATGTTTCCCATTTACAAAACTGATTGTTGAGGGCAAGTTGATGGGAGATGCCTCAAAGGAATCAGTGACGTGGTTGCTGCCTAGGGACAGGTCGGAGATCTGGGGGAAGAGAGGCACAGGTCCAGGCTGGTTCAGAAACCTCAGGACATCATCAACTGTGAACAAACATGCATAGCATTTAGGAAGATGTGCAGTGACCAAGGCCATATTATAGAACACATAAAATGTGCTGGTTTATTCTGTTGTTGATTAAAAAGTGACCCAAAGTGTATGTGGATGGCTCCCAGTCAGTGGTCTGTTATGGTTATGATTACGGTCAGTCACTTGGTGCCAAAGGCTACCCATAGACAATGAGTACTTGTCTTCTCATTAGGATTTTATGATACACATGGAAGCAATATCGTGGGAAGTGGAGCAAAAATGTGCAAAAAAGTGACACAAACACATGCCTTGGGTTTTCCTTAGCATTGGAATGGGGCACATTATAAATGAGACATGCCTGTGCAGCTAAACTACTTAGCTGTAGCATGAGGCTCAGTCAAAAGACCCTGTGATTCTGACATCGATATGGCTTGTAACAGAAAGACGTTTCATCAGAGAGCTCACTGCTTAAATTGTCCTCATTTCCTCATGACGTGGAAACAGTCAGTGGTGGGCCCCCTTATGATGCAACATAATACACCTTAAATATTTCAATAACAAATAAAGGGAAGATGGTGTGGCCATAGGAAGAAACCTATTAAAGGTATAAGTGGAGCATGAACACATATGAGAGGTTAATACATGCAAAAGTAAGAATGAGGATCTTAAAGAAATGAAATGTAAGCAATAAACTGTTGGTTCAGAGAGATCCTGGGGGGGCGGGTCAATTATGGTCAACCAGTTGTGGGTTGTTTCTAGACCACAAGAAAAGAGCTCTCTAATTTGACCACCAGTGTTTGACAGAGAAAGGAAAGAAAAAAGCAGGTAGAGTGAGTGAAAGCTGCCATTTTACATGTATGATTATTATACTAGCTTGTTTTCCCAAAGGATACACCATGTTGAGTTTGTAAAATGTTTAGCTGAAACTCAGTCAAGCAGAAATGACTTCAAAACTTTCCACATCTGGCTCTAGTACCAGTGGGTGTGTTTGTACAGATCTTCCCTTTGCTACACAATACAAAGATGTAGAGCCAATGGACTAGTAGTGCATGAAACAAACAAACAAAATCCAGTTAGGTTTGAGGAAACCAGTTCCCACTGATAGAGTTTTGATGCAGATCTGAGTATATACATTACAGCTAAGGGCTAATGAGATGAATTAAGGACATAAAATCATGTTTATTTGAGGTCAGAAATCAAACTACAGGAGACCACTATCTGGAAGCAATCTTATCCAATTTCCTTATCTACATTTTCAAGCCCTTTGACTGCCACCTTGGATGATTTTTTTTCAATTATTTCACTACAAATTTAAACATGTTACTAGGTTAATATGTACATGTATGTGACTCAAGACTCAACTTGGATTTGCCAGTATTTGACTTGGGACTTGACTCAGACTTGCGGTCAAAGATTTGAGACTTGCAAAACAAAGACTTGGTCCTACCTCTGCCAGGTTGTTGCACCAGTGCTAATTTAACCTGGGCAGGTTAATTGATTGTTTTTAATTGATCTTAGCTATCAGCTATTCTTCCTGGAGACCTATGTAGCGCCCGAAAGAAACCCATCCAGACATGGGAAGAAACATGCAAACTCCACATAGAAAGGCCCAGGCGACCCAGGGATCGAACCCGGAACCTTCTTGCTGAGAAGGTAGCCACGTGAGTTATTATCTTTACATATTTTCCACCTGCTTTTACCTGTCTTCTTAAATAAGGTATTATGCAAAATAGATTGTTTAGCTTGCTACTATGTTACAATGATGTTTCCTGATCAAAAACATGCCTGAAGAGGTTTTAGATGTAATCCATGCATGTTTAAGTTTTGAAGTGATCTCCTCCTCTCCTCCTTATGGTTAACGGTAAGACAATGCTCAGCCCACAAGCTTATGTCATTTATGGTCCCACACGACAATTCTCCATAAACATACAGAAACATGATAAAAAAAAACTGTACACAGCAACTTGACAACTGATGCTATGTGTAGTAGTTTCATTAGCGGGATGCAAATTGACTGTATTGTGATAGCACTCTGAAGGGGATGTGACTAAATATGGAGAGTGAAACTTATAAAACATGTTAATATGTTGTTTTTTGAGAAATTAGATAACATGGAAATCCAAATATGTTATATGTGGGCATTTATTACCCCATAGAAGTAAAATACCCCCTCTTTAATAACTAATTTATGGAATCCTGATGTGTCACGACAATATGGTTTAGACTGGAATATGCTGTACACTTGTACAGTGACTAAAAGTGCAAACCTTATTTTTTTATTCAAATAAATCGACCAAGATGGTTGCGAGACCAACATTTGCAACAGCCTCTAAAGCCACTGTTTTTCTTTGATTCTTCACTATGACCACAGCCATGGTGGCTGTGTGAAACACAATTTAGTTTTCATGTACATGAAAATGACAAATTAATTAATCTAATCAACTGAATTTATAGTTATTTTTAAGGAGCATAGTTTCTTTTTAATGCTATATGCTAATGAAAATAACAACGCAGCATTTATGTTAATTTTTTTTTTACTACGGGGTAGAAAATTAATATTAATGGAAAAGACCGATTAATGATAATGCATACTGCAAATAATGCAAAGGCAATAATTAATTAATTAATACATTTTCATTAGCATAATTAATTATTTATTTATTTAGCATTTTCATAATTAATTTAATTATGAATTAAGGAAGTAATCTGCATTTTCATAATTAATTAATTTATCAAACTAATCATTGCACTTTTATAGCTCCTTTCAAGACACCCAAAGTGCTTCAGTTCACTCCACACTCAGTGGTGGCAAGCTACTATTGCAGCCATAGTTGCCCTGGGGCAGACTGACAGAAGCGAGGCTTTCTATCCATTTGCCCCTCCGCCCGCCAAGAACACTCACGGACACTCCACTTTCTTAGTAGGCAATGTGTGAAGTGTCTTGCCTAAGGACACAATGACAGTTTTTTGCCACGGGTGCCCCACCTGGTGTTCTCAGTGGCTTCCCATCCAAGTACAACCCAGGCCCAGGCTCACTTAATTTCTGAGATCTGACAAGATCAACCTTTGACAAACTGGTATGGCCACACTCAAGATGTTATTAAACGTAATTGAAACTGTCCACTTACCAGATTGGTTTTGACTGTGCACATTGACGATGATGACGTGAATGGGAGATTTGCCAGATGACTCTCCATCTATCGCACTTGATGCTGACTGGTCAAACTGTCCAGGGGTGACATCCTCTTTGAAGACCACTGCAGGCTGAACCATTTCCACACTATCCACTGGGATACCTGGATCTACAGTGACAGGCTCTGGAGTCACTACCTCTGGGGTAATACCCCTCACTTCCATCTTGGTACTATCTGTTCCCATATTTGGATTTGTAGAGCCCTGCATCTGTGTGGGAGTGACCACAAGTCTGTCTTCTAAAAGACTATCTCTAACTGGCTCTCCACTGGCACTACTCTGACCTTCTCTCAGCACAGTGGGACTTCTACCCTGTCCTATGTATATGCTGTCTAGATGATTGGGAGGTGTAGGTGGGGTCTCCAATGGAGACAAAACATCTCCTCTGATAGGGACAGACTCTAAATAAGTCCCATTTTCAAAATCTTGGACATCATAATCATATATAGGAGTAGGAGTCACATGGACTGTGGCAACAGTGGGGGTATGGATGATTTCTAAATGGGGGGCTGAAGTTGTGTAATCAGGTTTATGAGTAGTGTGGGGCACTGGCTCATATTCATGTGTTTGGATTTGAAGTCTCTTAGAGTCTGGAGGAGCTGTAGTGCTGATGGTCCTGTCAAACTCCTCCAAGTCTATGGGGGTTTCAGAAGTGGTCGGCTCAGGTACTATAGCTGAAGAAAAAAGAGGAATGAAAAATAGTTAAGGCTGCTGCTCAAAATGACTGTGTGAGAAATATGAACTTTTAAATTAGCATAATGTGTAGCATACTTTGTATTTGGCCATTTAACAAATATTATTAATTATGGTTAATTGTTTTTTTGGGTGAGAAGTTTTAATCTGACACATTTAGCAGATTCAATGTTGTGTTAGTTGTAAATATTCCAGAGTAGCAGTGATGTTTAGGCATCACTGGCATAAAACTTTAACACCCAGGATGGGCAGAAGAAGTGCACAGATTGAGGGGTTTTCTCTTTTTTCCACTCCACCTCTCTCCCCCAATTCTCCCCTTTGAGCATTTTTCCACAGTCACATAACAAAGGTGTTTATTGCCAAATGGCCTGCAGACCCCGGAGACAGCAGCTCTTGTCTGGTATGGTCTTTTTACACCATAACAGAGAGACGCTACACATTCAGGTTGGCTTTAGCTCTGCCCAAATATGAAGTCATATGTTTGGTGAGCCATGGCCATCTGGCTGGGCTGGGGTCTGTCTACAAACTGTCATTAAAACATTGCTCTCACCAGCTTTCTTCAGCTCTGCTCATAGTTTGGCAAGACACAAAGAACATTTTATAAAACAGTCTTGACTACTGACTTAAATGCACCTTGTTATCAAACTTCTTATTTTCTAGATTATTTTGTAATCATGGAGTTACATATGGGAGACGTTTCTTCTGAGTTTCCTCCCTCGGTCCGTTTTGGGGATAGTCCAGCTGTGATACATTAGGGACATGTACAATGTTGTGCAAAATCTGTGTCAGAGTGTGTTGGGTTTTCCCCTTGTAAAAATCTGCCCCTCCATAAAAGGGGTACTAGAAGTTTATCTTTTTGTTGTTTGGGTTTAAAGTACTTTCAGTGAGTGGGACTCCTGCCCTGTCATTCACTGTCACTACTTCATTGCTTTCCCTTGTCTGATATTTCCCTATTCCCCTGTCTCCCGACATGTGGGGATTATTTGGCAACTTTTGTAACCTTGACAGTTTATAGTATGAAGGTCCATTCCAACAACTATGTGTCTGAGGCAAGCTTCAGTTAAGTGGACAGTTCATAATAGAGAAGACACCTTAAGATTATGAGTGACCAAAATAAACATGGATAACCTAGTCAACATCATAATGTCTTACCTTTAAAGCAGTAGGCTCCATGTTTATCTTCAGGGTCAGGGTAGCCAGTCTGATTTTCAAACCTGTAGAGTGTTCGCACCCCCAGCTGGCCACCACCACACTGGGGTTTGGGGATGTTAATGGGGTAGCGGACACTACCATCAGAGAGCCAGCCGTTGTCACAGCGATTAAGCCCCGCCCTCCAGGCTGCAAACAACTGACCAGGGGAGGCCAGATTTGTGCTGTGTTTCTCACATTCAGCCTTGGCCTGCTCAAATGTGAGCTTCTCTTTAATTGGTGGATAAAAAACTTCACCTTTAAGATAATTAAAACATGGGAATAATTACTATATAATAAATTATTTTATAGTATATAGTTGCCATTAGGATCATGAATGACTATGTTACCTTGCACCTGATCTATAAAGCAATATACATCATATTTCTCCGTTTGTTCTCGGACCCCATATGTTCTCACTCCTGGTTTGCCCATCAGGTCACCTCCACAGCCTGGTCGAGGCTGGGTAATTGGATATCTGAAAAAATATTATCATGTTACACTTACACACTTATGTTTTTTATACTTCCACTATTATTACTCTATCAAAAGCTCTTGATCATACCTCACTGTCTGGTCAGCAAGCCAGCCAGCATCACACTGGTCCAAGCCATCTTCATACGCAGCAGTAAGTTCTTCGGGTGTAGCAATAGCAGCACCGGCTGAGAGGCATGCTCCAATAGCACTTGGAAAATCCAGAGAATAGCGATCGCTTTTAGCTCTGTAATGGAAAACAACACCTGCAAGCATTGTGAAATGAATTAGCTGCAGTCTTGAAACAGATTCATCTTTCATCTTGTCTACATTAGATTTTAAATATGTAACCCAAAATGCTGGTGAAAATAAATTATCACATAATTAAACCTACAGTTACACAAACCTGATACTTTAGCAATTATCTCCTTAATGTACATGGTTGTGCTGTGTGTTAATCAGGTCGCTTATCCTCTTGTGGATGGGTGGATTTGTATCTGATGAGCGAGAACATCCTGGCAGAGCTGCAGGAGGATGTGAATAGGCCTGAGTGTGAAATAACCAGTTGTGTGTTGTTCATAGGGAACGTCTTTGTCTGCAGACAACAAAGCGCCCTGTTCAAGTATAAATGTGGAATCTGTAAACGTCTGAGACCAAGGGTTGATTCAGTTGGTATTATGCCACAAAGTACAGCGTGAACTCTATTAGTCCCATAAACACATTTGAATGGTGATGTTGCATGTGTTAGAGAACAGAGATGAAAGATGCAGCATTAGCTTTACTTCATCAGAAGGGGGCGCTGAACTAAATGTGCAGCCTGCTATCTTAAGAGGTTTGTATGGAAGCAGTGTAGCTTGGTTTTCAAGTATGTGACCTCAAAGGTGGGGGAAAAATGTATGCGTCTTTGGCCCCAAGTCTATCCAATCATGTCATCAAACAGCTGAATGACACATTGTCATTGAGCCTTTACATGGCAGCTGTAAATGCGGAATCATATAATTATTATATGTCCAAGCAGGTAATAAGCAGACTGGTGGAAAAAGATCACTAAAATTTTAGCATAGTTAAAATTCCAACCTGAATAGGTTTCAACACTGAAAATGTCTTATTTAAGAGTGTGTTTGCTGACAAATAAATTACTTTGAACTATGTAGGAAGTAGGGAAATAGAAGCTTTGATTGCTTGCTGCACATCCTGTGCTCAAACAACACAAATCTTCCATGAGCTATGTAACTTTTAATGTGTAAACAAGCACATATTTGTTAAGATGTTGACCACAACTTTATAATGGCATAAAATGTTAATATGGGCTTTACAGCTAAGTAAACATTTCAATTCACAAAAGAAAAGCAATCAAGTCTACAAAATACTTGTAAGTGTTTCAACAAACTACTACTAAGAGTGAAACACTATATAAAATTTACAAACTTCAATATGTATTTACTACAGTATAATGGCTACACTGGCTTTATTGTTATATTGCTTGTTAATTAAACAGGACAGGACACTTTTTTCAACTGGCTCACAAACATAATAGATCTTAATAGACCCCCTTAGTAGTTTTCACTACCTGTTACAGCTGCACATACAACTGTATTTGACTCACCAGTGATGTTGAGGCTGACAGTGCCCTGGATGGTGTCCATGTCAAGAATCAGCTCACAGCGGTACAGCCCTGAATCACTGACCCTGAGTTTGCGAATCATCAAAGAGGCATCTCGACGGGACATTGGAGATGGGTACAGCTTTACTCTGTCCCTGTACTTTTCTTCCACCTTCGTTTGTCCTCCCTGGGAAACCATAACCAGCTTCTCCCCATCCTCCTCCAGCTTTGTCCACTTGATCCTCAGTGGATCACTCTGATGGGGAGGTGTGGAAGTGCTCAGAAAGTCCGAGGATATTGAGAAGCGGCATGGCAGAAGTGTGTAGCCTGCTAGTGACGCTCTGACAGGTGATGTTGTCTTCAGCTTTATTTGGTGTGAGGGTGCTGAAGAACAATGACAGACAGTTCATATATCTTTAACAATGAGGTAGATCTTGGAATAAATAGCATGTCTCACCAGCGTTTACATATTATGACAACAGTAAGTGCATGAAGTGTAAAGGTCTTGACAAATATACAGGTTTTAAGTAGTAACAAGTGATTAAGGTAGAGTACATAGTATATGTACTCTACTTAAGTAGAGTGTAGTGTATATGTATATATGTATATATATATATATATATATATATATATATATAATAGTGTTTCTTTTGACACTCACCTTGCAAAGGAAGAGCAGAGCACAGACACACCAAGCAGAGCAGGTGTGTAAACATGTGAGGCATCATTTGTAAACTAAGAAAAAAACAAACAAACACAAAACATAAAAACGTAAGACTCAAGGGGCTTAAGAAATTAGGAAAGCCCTTTCAGAGACAATGGGGTCCGCAGTTATTTACAGCATGAGACCAACCTCAGACAAATAGATAAGGTATGCTGAGAAGAGCAGATGTAAGGGGTCAGCTGTAGCCAGAGAAAGCCCAGCTGTGAAGAAGATAGCACTTATCCTAAGATCCTGGTGTTAAAGTGATGTGGATTCCTAAAGAGCCTGGCGGATGCCCCAAGTCTCAGTTGTATCACAAGCACACTCATTAACTTATCATTGTGCTGTATTAGTACCAAAGATGGTTGTTTAAAGGCCAATATTGACCTAATCTACAGCAGCAAAGCAAAGACAAATACAAACCGTATATAAAACAACTTACCGTTTAAGAATTCCAACTGCAAATCCACTCATATGTTAAGCAGTCCCACCGTATCCTTACATTAATTGGCGCATTTAGCAGTAGCACACAAAGATAGAGTGTCGCCGCTTCGTGCCGGAGTGCTTCTCAGCTCTAGCTGCAAGTTCAAATGCACTTTACACCCCCTATTATCCCAACATTAGGGCGAGGAGGGGCACGTTTGTCTATGCACCCCATTTCACCGCCCAGAGTAGAAGAGGGAGACGCGTCATTACGCACACTCCCCTCTGCTATCGTCATTCTTGTAAAGAGAGAAACAGAGCGTCAAGCACCCAGAAAGATTAAAGAGGTTGAGAATACAAACTTGGACTGAGAGCATTAGAATTAGAACAGCTTTAGTAGTTTTTAAAAGTAAAGAAATGTAACATACACAGGGAGGTTTACACTTTGAAAATATGTTTATTGTTAATTCATGTTCAAGAAGGTCAGAAAAATATTTAAAATTATCAGGCTGAGTGAGCTCCTGATCTAGACTAGAGCTAGTCCAAAGATACAATTTAAATGAAAATCTATTAACCGTATATATAAGTTATGTATTGATTTTGGAGTTGAAAGTATTATTAACAATAAAAACATATATAGATCACAAGTTAAAAAACTAACTGGTTTTGGGCATCCAGATTCCTATTTTTCATGGATGAGGCTTGTATGATTGCATCAGTTTTATGTAGTTGGTGGTTTTAAAAAGCGGTCATAGTTCAGTCCACAGTACATGCATCTTGTCTTTTTGAAGTACGCAGGAGAAGGGTCAGAAGTCCTCAAACAGGTCCTCTGCGTCTGAAGTTGCTGCCGCAGCATCTGTGGGGCAGTGGGGCGCCTGCTTCACACTGGGTGCTGCAGGCGACTCACTTCTGTATCAAACACAGAGAAACACAGAGATGGGGTCAGTGGGCTAATGAGGCTGGTTTACAGCACAGTTTTCCTGTTGAGACGGGAAGTCCATGAGGAGCTAGACTAGAACCACATGGGCACACACTTTTATACCTGTGTGTACATTTGTACTCAGATCACTGTGTGTAAATGTGCATGTGTGTGTATGTGTGTAATAGTAGGTCAGCAGCTACCCCCACTTTAAGTGCTCTACATCCAACATTTACCTGTGTGGGGGCTTTCTCTGGTGTATCACAGTATATTCTGCTCAAGGTAAACACAATGGCATGATAGAAATAACATACAACAAATTAAAAGTGACATTTTGGTAATATATGTTTAAACCCAAGAGACATTTTCATTGAATGCGTTCCTAGTTGCAAAAGTGTCTGAGTGTACCCCACACATTTGGCCTGAATGTTGGAATGTCAAATTTTAATCCCAGGTTGTTTGAAGACCACCCGCAATTTTAAAAAGAGGTTCAACTCACATGATATTTTACTTTATTAACTCTAAACTTTGACACCATTGCAGATCAGTGACAGGAAAATTTGTTTTGAACATGAATAAGTGGGAAAACAGGTGGGAAACAATTGCATTAATACAAGAAAAGTGAGTGCAGCTATGGGACCACCAGGGTCCTGAACCCACGACAGAGGCCAGTGTCATTCTGACCCTGAGAGATGATGTTAATCTTAGACATGATCATATGAAGTGGACTGGTGACATCTCAAGGAAAAACACCAATTAGAACAGGTTTAGAGCATACAAGTCTATAAGAAATTTCAAAGAGTAAGGTTTTTCTTTCCTTTTTTTTCCTCATATTAGTTTGTTGTCATCTATGTAGAGTGCCCCGATTACGTGAGTGAATTCTTGAGGATGTCAATAATAGAATCCCAAAAAAACTATGTGATTGATGATGATTATTAATGTCATTAAAGAAACCTATTTGCACAATTAATGCATCGGATAATATGAATTATTGTCAATATTTTCTAAAGTCTTATATTGCTGTGGTGACACTGAAAAGGCAATGGAAGAAGGCTCCAGGTGCTCAATCATCAAACCAGTGTTATTAAATGTTCAGTTAAAAAAACATGCTCCACTATAAACATTGTTATTCTGTGGAGCCCAGAGCTATTCTAAATTAAGCCGAAAACAACAGTCCTTTGCTTTGTCTAGAGAATACGCAATCATCTTACAGATAGCGCTACATACGGTAAATATATTTAATTCAATTTCTAATTTGTCCTGCTGAGAAATAAAAAAACCACTACCAGTATTTCAGTAAACAGCAACTGTTCTTGAAATTAAATTATAATTTTAATTAAGAAATAATGTGGGAATACAGGAAGTAAACCATAAATTGAGACCTAACATTTGCCTTTTTAAGCTGAGTAAACAAGGAAAAAAAGTACTACAATATGAGCAACTGCATTCCTGTATTGACACTGAGCCAGTATATACATTTTTATATTGAGCTAAGCCTTTGCCATAGGAATCTTTTTCCAAGTCGTTCACTATGGCCTCTTTTCACCTTCTCTTTTCTACTCTTCTCTTTCTCTCTACTCTCCCTGTGGATGACCTGCACAGAAACACAAGAAGGTGAAAGAGTTAAGCAATTGGAATGAAAACACAATGGCTGGGTGTAGTACTGCCAGCAGCTCAGTACCCCACACAAGAGCAGACAAAGGGCCCACTGCTGCAGCCTCGTCGGGCTGCTGTTTGCCAGCTCAGAGGGGGTCTGCTTCTGCAGGCAACCATTGCACTGATCAAACACCCAGCCAGCCACAGCTGCTCATCAACTCACTGCTCCTTTTCTGCTCAACTGAGTAGAGCTACACTTTGGGCCATCTGCAACTGGGACAATTTAAAGTCATTGGCATGCAGTCATTTGGGTTCTTACAACGAGGGTTTCAACATACAAACAATGTCTTAACTAAGACAAAATAAAAAAAAAATAAAAAAATCCACAAATCTGAAAAAACCACATCTGAACATAATTTTTGAAAACAAGACATTTTGGATTATGTTGTGAGGCAGTCCAGACTTATGAAATAGTTTGGAAAAAATATTATTACATAATAATGTTTTTAAGCCCAGAGGCTTGACTTCTAAATTAATTTTCTTTGCAACAATGTGCTAATAATACATATGTTATAAATGGTATTGTTATGATGTTCATCTTAATTACAAATCTGATTTAAGAAGAAATACAGCAATCTTCAACAGAGAGGAAACAATAATGAAACTTATTTTATTGTAACTCTATAAGCATATTGAGCTCAAGACACTACCCTCTCAAGTGAGGGGATGCAACTTCCCATCAGTGGAAAGAGAAGACATGGTAGCAGCTGGTGTGCCTAAAGCTAAGCGTTACTGTGTATATGTGCGAAAGACACAAGCACAACCAGTAGGCTGCATTGTTTAGACCTTGAAGCAGAAATCATAAACCACACACACCAAAGGGTTTTATCACCAGTAAAGCAAGGATGGAGAATCTTTCAATATTTGTAAATATATGAATACCCTCCGGAGCTCATTTCCAGTCCAGACATTTTCCTGGACAACAGCAACCACTGACCTAATCTAAAAATATTGTGTTTTCCCACTCTCTCCTGGGCTTTGGAGTCACTGGTGCAACATATTGAGCTCTGCCTCTGTCAATATCAATGGTAAAAAAAAATGGCATGACTTGGTGTATGGTTAAAGGTTTAGTGTAGCACTACCTTCCAAGACCTCAAGAATTTAATGGCAAAGGTCAAAGATCATGTCAACACCTGGCCTCAGAGGGCGTGAAAAGACATCACCATTATATAGTTTTATCATTCTAGTATTGAACAGCCAACCAAAATACATTTTAATACCCACTGCACATGAACGTTACAATAATAAACATTTTGATGGGACACCTAAGGTTGTATTTTTATCTCAGTTTTTTCAAATAAAGTTTATGTAAGTATATAAGAACCTAATATGGGGAGACTAGTAAGGTTTAATTTTGCCCAAAAACTTTGATGGCAACCTTGAACCTAGAAAATGCCCTGGTCAGGGGTTAAAATCGTAAGGTTTGGGTGTGATTGCCTATCATAAAAAGGACTTGACAGGGAAGTTTAATGATATTTGATTTTCCCATTCAAGAGAATACCAGGCAGAGAGGCAGAAGGTGAAGTTTGGGAATTGGCAAACACATACGACAACCATAATAAACAACTCAAGCTTCAGATGACAGATCCATACATTTCACAAAAACATTCAAACAAACACCAACGCAGGTTCAGCTACATATTACTTAGAAACTTCACTGCAGAATCTCTTGACTACACACTAACCACAATTATCATAAATTCCTAAGTGTAAATGTAAATAGTGAATCTGTGCAGTACCTTCTCTTCTTGTAGGTGTGTGATTTAGATGGCCGAGGAGCTGGTGTGTCTAGATGACGATAGCGACGTTTGCGACATGGAGCCACATCTATAAGGTCACTGAGACCATCATCCAGTGGGCTTGGGGTTGTGCATTCTGTGAAGAAAAACAAACACAAACAAATCATGAATTCTATCATATAAAAAATACTAAATCTGTTGCAACCATATAGAAGCAGAAGACCTATGTCAAAACATTAAAAAAGATCATATTTTTGCAACTGTACAGAAAGAAAGTTGAAACAAACATCAGATGTTAAAGAAGAGTTGGATATAACTGTTGTCTGAGGGAAGGTGATTATGTAATTCACAATTTTTTATTTTTTTTCCATTCCTCCACAGCCTGAGAAATGATCTGCCCATGTATTAACATACTACATGTACTACAAAACTACAGACTAAGTGTTAATTGTTGTGTATGTAAATGTAAATTAGCCTTAAATTCTCAGTATCAGTAGTCTCAGTATGTATCACAGAAAAAACATTAAGTTGAACTGAAAGGAATTTGGGCAACTCTAATTCTTTACTGTCATAGTGTGGGACATTTAACAAGACTAACCAATGGACTTATAATACTCAATATGTATAAGTCACTCACTCCTGACACTCGGTGGTATTAAGCCACTTCTATAGCCACAGCTGCCTTGGTCTACTAGACATACAGAATCAAGGGAGCGTGTTTATTTTTCCCCAAATGTTCAGCTTTATATATAGTATAGTCAAAACACATAAAAAACTAACTGATTAAACTCTCCCTTGTTTTCATCATTGTTGGCAAAACACACTAGACTGAGTCATTGTCCTAGCAACAGAAAGTAACATTTCCCCTCAGAGCCAGTACACAGATGCAGGGAAAGTCCTGTGAGCACCTATGAGAGAACCCCTCAATGCATAATTTAAGGTGTGGACAGTGGAAAATAGAGAAACAGCTTTAAAAAAAGGCAAGTCCCTTACCCCACCCCCGTTTAGTTCCACATTAGATCTCAACCTTAAGTCCATGCAAATTAGACTAGACACATTTAGCTCTTAAGAAAATGTCAAATCACCTTGAGCTCACTTGGGACCTAAAGACAAAGAATGATGAAAAACAATTCAACAATTCATAAAGCTCTTGTACTGTGGATTACATAACTCACACAGCCACAGAAATCCATACACTCACGATGTAAACACACTCAGCTACCAGGGTAACAGTTATGATGTCAAGCTACTATGGTTACAGGCATGCTCAGGGTCAAGACTATTGATATACTGTACAGCAGGGGTCTCCAGCCTTTTTTCTCCTGCGAGTTACTTTCTACAAAATGAAAACGCCAGAGCGCGACTACCCCTCAGACGGGCTACAGTTAGAGGCCTATAAAAATAAACCATTATCCAGTTATCAGTTCACAAAGTTAGACATCAAAATAATACATTTACAATGGAAATATTAATTTAATCAATCAAATTTTAGTTATTCAGCACAACACACATAATTCAAAAATCCCTTGGCGAGTCACTTGGAAGGGGGTGGAGAGCTACTGGTTGCTCTCGAGCTATAGGTTGGAGACCCCTGCTGTACAGCATGACTGCTTAAGAAAATACACAAAGCCTCAATTTCTGGTGCTTTTTATAAGTCAAGACCTTAAATGGCAAGTTTCTGTAGTGGGTGTAAATCTGCATATTATTATGATACATGCACCTAACAAATATGTTGCAAAATACTCTTAAATGGAGGACAGATAGACTAACCGTTTGCCTCAACCTCTGCTGGGGTCTTCTCAGCAGGTTTGGGTTCTGCCTCTTCTGTTTCGTCTTCAGTACTTCCTCCATACTCATCTTCATCATTGTGCTCAGAATGTTGAGTTTGGTCAGTTTTTCCATAAGAACTTCTGAAAATAAAATCACACCATATATAATATTCTATAGTATTTAAATTATGTAAAAATGTAAATGTTCAATGAAAAAGCATCACACATGATAGTGAGACGTACCGTTCTTCCTGCAGACTTGTCAGAGTGAGGAACAGGCTTCGAATCTTGGCTTTCTTCTCATTGAGCACATGGACAAATCGAGAGTATAGTTCCAGTTCCAGAGCTTTTTTACCACTCACATACTGCTTCAGTCTACGCCACAATACAAGAATATAACTATATTTACTGTATTCAGTATATATGTTAACAAAAAAAGACAGTTATTATGGATTAGACAGTTTAACTAATAAAACACTCAAAATATGAACACTTCTTTGCTGCCATGTAATGAACTAAATGAGAGATAATTATAGTGCAATATGTAACTTTTCTGATGGAGAGTCTGCCACCTGCTTGTCTCCATGGTTATGTTATAGATTTACACAGTATGGTATTTTACTCCATGGATTGAGGTTAAGACTTTAGACTTTAGACTTTACTGTCTCCGTAGGGAAATTTCCCTTCTGCATTTCACCCATCCTTCAATGGTGCTGGACAAAGTTACAGATCAGATCTTTGGAAAGGTGAGCCTGGCATGAAGTCTAGTTTTTTGCACTAAAAAATGTGAAACTGAATGAAAGCAAGATATCTCATACATATACATTCCTGGGAAAACAATAACATCTCCAAGGAACCAATCAGGTGGCAGACCATCCAAGAGAGATATTACACAGTGCATCTTTAAACAGATAAGAAATGTATATGAACTGAAGTACGTGTGTGTGTTTTTCTTTTTTGTAGTGAGTAATTCAGCAGGCCTCTCTGACTCATTTTGGCACATGATCTGCTGGGTTACACACACACACACACACACATCTGTGACGAACTTTCATTGCTCAAAAATAGTATGAAGACAGAACTTTCTCATAAATGATGTGAATTTGGCAATACCCCTACTCCAGGTCTTGCCACAGTCTAGAGTTTAGTTCAACTTTACAGCTAGTGCAGAAGTCATTTGTAACATGGTGTTATTGTTGAGAGTGGAGTGTTTTTTATTTACTGTGCCGTAATGCGCTGATGCTCTTGATTCAGTCGCTGGTTCTGCTCCTCTAGTTTGCGGTTGTATCGTTCCAGTGAGTTTGCCTTGTCCATGCTGTAAATCAGTAGCTCCCTCACTGCCTCTGCAGGATCTGAAAGGGCTGTCAGTGCTACAGATCCCAGCCTGAACTGCGACCGACAGAACAGAAGGGATGTGGCTGGATTATTGATGATTCTCGATGATTCTCAGCATTTCAGTATGTGATCCTCAGAACTTAATATTTTTAAGTGCAAGACATGCATAACATACAGGCTAATACAATTCAGAATTTCATGTGTGCCAATTATTACTTTGTCACCTTTAAATTAAGGTGCATATAGAACCCTTGCATATATAACTCTGATGGAGGGTCCATCACCTGCTTGTCTACATGGAGATGTTATTGCTTAGAGAAGTCACAGGTCTTTGGAGCGGTGAGCCCACTCGCAGTATATTATATAACGGAATATTGGCATTAGAAAAAGAAGTGTAACTGGACAAATGCAATGTTGACTAAGTGCACCAGAGTAAATAAATCACCACAGACATGAACAGAACATAAAATTCAAATGAATCCTAAGAGCACTTCAGTTAACACTTCCAGATGTTACGTCATCCCAAACCCTCTGTTAACTTTTTGATGAAAAATGTATTTTATGATTTATTTCTCATTTTTATGTTCTTTATTTTTGTATTTATTGACTTTTTTTGTTTGTTGAGAAATCGGCATAAAATGGGATTGAAGGATGGGCATGGTCTGGCCTGGACTGCAGCACATGTTCCAAATGCGTAATGTACAACACAACTACTGGTGTTCCTTCTATTACACACTTGGACCAACAGTCGAATGTTGTGTTTAATATACTCCAAGCAGACATTGGAGCTTGTCCTCAAAATTTTGGCTGTGAAACCATTTACATGGGCAAGGTCTCTGATGAAGTCATAGAAATTCCAGTTTCAAAAGACATTTCTGACGCAATTAGGTACTTCTGCTGCAACTTCTTGCTTAATTTAAGGAAATACTAATGCAGTGAAGTGTAAAAAATGTAATATGGGATGTCAAGTACAACCTCTGCAATCACACTGATAATGTATAGAATATAATTCAGAAAAATAACTTAAGTGGAGCAAGAAAAGAGGTCTTTATCCACAGTAATCCAATGATATTCAAGCACCATCTGATTGTCATTAAAGTCCACAGTACTGTACTGTGAGAAAGTGATTCAACAAAGGGCTATTGTAAACCTCAATATGGAACAAATGATCAAACCAAAACAAAATTTTCATCCAAATTAAAATTTGTGCCACATTCTATATGAATAGGACAAATGTGAGAAAGACCAGTGTACTTTGAAATATGGGGTCAAACTCACAAATGCCTGGTATGCTAACCACCACAGGTAACAGCTGCACATTTATTCTAACAGGTTCAGTGTAACCTCCATTAAGATCCTATTAGAGGGCAATGACCAGGCTGTAAACAAAAGCCTTTCATTATGATTCATAACTCTTATGACATATGAAATATCATTTGAAGCTCCCATATATCTCATAGTGAAATCTTTCAATCTTTCAAGTGAAAATGCATCCTAAAAATGAAAAGATTAGTCACTAAATGAAATTTGTTCCTATAGTATAGTATACATAATAAAGTATAAAGTATACATTACTTTCAGACACAAAATGCTACCAATAGTATATAATTCGTAGAAATATTTTCAGTATCTTTGTTTCTGTCTGTGTTGTCTGCTAGTATCAATAAAGTACTTAAATGAACTATATGTTGTTGTTTTTTTTATATTCACACCTTCTTGGTACTGTTAAACTTTTAATGAACACATATCTCATATTATATTCAAGATAATACTCACAGAGATGACTGAAACACTAATGATTCCAGTAGTTTGGATGTTCATCATAAATGTCAGCCTTTGGTAAAGTAACATGATACAGTATATGAAGTAGAGTAGTTATTAAATTATATTGTTACAAGGGTATGCGTTAAAAAGTTAAGTCTTGAACTAAAAAAATCTCCACTCCAGTTGAGGGGCTGGACTGGGGTGACAAGCTTGCCCTGCTCTTATCTAAACTTAACAATGACGTAATGAGAAAAAAACTTCCACACTATTTACGCAAGGGGTTTCTGACTAATGCCCTTTTGTGGCACATATCTCAGTGGTTCACAGCCTTTTTCTCCATGAACCTAATCTAATCTACACATGACAATCTATTATTCATAATCAGTAATTAATTGAAAACCTGTATAGTAATTTCATTTGTAATCGCTTCATTATAATCATCACAATTTAGTATGAACCGTTCCATCTAAGGCAGTAACCCCTTCATCAGAGAAACTAATGATGAGTTTAACTGTGTTTGTACTCACCGAGATATCCTTTTGCACTTTCTCGTAGGCCAGAGACACATGTGCGCTGCTACAGTTGAGAGTGAAGGTGTAAGAAGTGGAGCTTTCTGTCCCAATCAGCGCCTGGTGGATGTCTTGGACATAATTTTCACTTTTCATCTCCAGCTCCTTTGCCTCTTCGCATATGGCTGCCTCAGTAACTACATAGACAAACATGCAATAAGAAGATGCTCAGGATGTTGGATGTAGCGGCAAATTCAAAGTTCAAAAAGGCAAAAACAACACGAACATTTTACTTCGTCTCCAAGGGAAAGGGTCAACTAAAGTGCAATAATGAATGTGCAAAGGTGAAGTGAGACCACACAGCTATTTGGTTAAAAAGGTCAAAGTGCAGGGAACAAACATAAATCTTAAAGACCTTTAAAATGTGAGGGGAAAAGTGAGGTCCTGATAGACAGTGTTGTACCTTCTCCTCTCCAAGCATCCTTTGCATCTGTCAGCAGCAGCCGGAACCCTGAGCCCAGGTCTGGTCCGCCCCAGTCCAGCCGCAGGAAGTACGAAGAACCAGAGAGAGAAATCTGACGCACTGAAGTGTGCATCCTAACTCAGAACTTGAAAACTGAAAAAAATGAAAACAATTGATCGATGCTATACTGGGCTAGTCTAACTTTATAATGAAGGTGTTGAGGAGAAAATTCAGTTTGTCAAGGTTTCACAGCTCATCCAAGCTGCTTCTTCAGTTCTGGTCAGAATGCTGGTGGAATGGTGGTGGAAGTGTCCACCAGCATTCTGACCAGAACTGAAGAAGCAGCTTGGATGAGCTGCGAAACGTCTTCAACCAATCTAACTTTTGTCCAGTTGACAAACTGAATTTTCTCCTCGACATAGATTCTACCTGGACGACTGAGGGATTCTTCACACATTTATAATGGTTTCTTGCATGAGAATTCCTTCTTATTTTAATGATTTGGCATAGCAACAATCTTCCATTGTTATAAAACAATTCAAATAATTTGAATTAGGAAAGGTCCTGGAAGTAATCATTTGCCTGAAACTCATGAATTGCTTTGACCATGTTCTAATGTTGAGCAGAACCCGAAAACTTTTCGAATGTGACAGAAATGTATGGATCTCGAAAAGTCAAGGGGGCCAAATATGCACTGAGCACCATAAGGAATCTTAATCTTTTGGGACTCACATTTCTGTGGGTCTGGAGTTAAATTTTTCTGACACAGCACAAAGTTCTAGTTAAGGTTGCAGGAAGTAGACTATGACTCGCCCCATGCCCTCTTGACCAAAAACCCCACTGAGACAATAGCTCCAGAATGGGCCTCTGACTGTGATGCTGGCCAGTGATGCTCTGGACCAGGAGGTCTGGGAGGTTTCCCTTCAGGTAAGTCCAAAATATTTCAGATATAATAAAGACATATCTGTGATCATTATCTCAGTAATTGTTAAATGCATCTTATGTTGTTGTTTTGTGGAAAAAAAAACAAAAAACATACTTGTTCCATTTGAATAATAAATACAATCAGAAAAAACAAAACAAACAAACAAACAAACAAACAAAAAACAGTGATGTGTCACAAATGCTGAGTGGTCATCGATAAGCACTGATATTTCTAGTCAGTGATCATCACGGGTCTTGCAGCATGCCTGTTGTAAATGATTAGTGCGCGATGTAAACCCAGCTTTGTGAACACTATATTGCAACACACAGAACCCCTTATTATTGCCGTAAGTACAGCCCGAGCTGGAAACCCACACCTTGCCTTGCTAATAAACAGTTAGTGCAACATGCTTGCTAACGGAGCAAGACACATATTGAAGAAGAAAAAAGCAGCCGCATCTTTAACAACATCCTTTTAACACCTGCTGCACGAACATATTCACCCTCCGAAATTAGACGGTAGTGGAAAGTGTTTTTCCTGTACTTAAAGTGTAACACTCTCCATGAGCTCAGAGCTGCAGAAGCGGCGTACAGACCGTAGAGTCTATGCTATAGACACTAGACTGACTGCTTATGTTTGTAAACATTAATACAACAGCAAGGTCAGAAGCGCCAAACAAACTACACGTAGGTTACACCTAAAAATAAAATAATAACAATCGTAGCTCACCCAAGCTCTTTAAATGACCCTTGTTAGATTAGATTTTTTGGACTGCTTTAGTAGACCATACATTACGTCATCATTAAGCGACAGCCTATTGCCTTGCACGATACACACACCGCCAACCGCCTCCAACGAAGTATAAGATCCATAGCACCACCCCATGGATATTTTAAAGTAACGATCGGTACCTGATGCTGATATTACTTCCATTATCATATCACTAACATATTTACTCCTGTCATGCAACTGTAACCCAAGGATCTCTCATAGTTTCACTAAAATTTATTTTGACGCGTTGACGCAGTCATACAAATACACCATTTTCCCAATTTATGAATGAACTGTCAGAGCAATTTAAAAAAGGGATTAATGTTAATAACTTAAACATTTTACATGTTGCACACAGTGCAGTCAAGTGTCTTTAGCGTCCCAGGTAAAGATGATACGGCTGTTTTGTGTTAACATAAATATATTTATGTTTATACAAATTAATCCACATTAATCCACAACACTTTTTTTTTTATTTATAGCCACCAGAGTGAATAAACCATCTGTAAAGGCCACAATACATAGTGGAAATAGTGAAAACTGTGAAATGTCAGTGAAATTACATGTGAAATATCCAAATTGTAATTGACTGATCAGGTCATTGGTCAGTGGCTCCATGCATCAGCACAGTTTATTCACATCAAAACACCACAACTTTAGCCTGTTTGGGCTTAGCCTTCTTCACTGGTATGTGCACATCCTCATGGTCCGCACTCATATTGTTGGATAACCAGTTTAGTGTCATGGTGTTTGCTGAAACATAGATAGGTACAGTTAATAATGGCTGTAAAAAAGTCAAACGATTAGCAGAGGCCTAAAGTACGCACTTGATGCCTGATGCTCTGGACAGTCTTTCTGAAAATGCTCCACAGAACCACAAACACGGCAGCATCCTCCTGCAAATTCACATAGTATACATATGATCTAATCAACAAAAGTATTATTTATAAACAAAACACACTTGATTTTGGTTACCTTGTGCATAAAGCCCTTTTGGATTATCTGGGCAGGAGCGTGACAAGTGTCCAGTTTGTCCACAGATGAAGCATTTTGCAAATGGATAGTCTCCTATAGTGAAAATAAACAGAATAATAATAAAGGGCAGTACTTGTCAGTAAATTTTTGGTCGACACACGTACATAAGCCTTGTACATCGACTGTAACCGCTAGCATCATGAGCATTATTTGATTGGAGCCGAACACTCTGGGTGATGTCACACTCCCTTAGCCCACTTCTTTATACAGTCTATGATCTGTCACTTTCATTCACAAGACCATAAGCTCACACAAAAACTAAAAATTACATTTAAGTACTATCAAACTCTGTATTTGAATATAAAAACGACAGACTACCCTCATTCCCAAATTTCCAGCTAAATCTCTACATATCTTCTTCTATCTGCTGTTATCCATGTACAAAAATGCATACAATCCAAGTAAAATTATTTGTGGACCAATACAAAATATGGATGATCAATATGTCGACTAAGACATTTAAATCCCACAGCCCTACATTAGTATAGTATTACTGCCATCAAGTTTGTGTAATCTTTTGCATATTGTGTACCTTACCTAAAGCAGGGTCTACTTTAGCTCTACACTTCTGAATTTCATGTTCAGTGGAGCCGCAGCGGTAACAAATGCCTCTGCCCATCTCCTCATCTCTGTCAGCCTCTGGACAATCTGCTAAGCCATGGCCTGGTTTTCTACAGTTAAAACAAAGCTGAAAGAGAGGAAGAAAGATATTTAAGTCATCTACCAAACGATAAAAATAAATGCAATTTTATATAATACTTAAAGAATTATTCATAATATTCACCATTTTGTTTTTCTTGTCCTTTTGTCGTTTAATCCTTCGGTCTTCCCTCCTCTGCTCTTTTTTCAAAGCAGTTTCCACCTCCGCTGTGAAATCCAGTTCTCGTGGTTGAATTTCTTTATCAGTTTTGGGCTGCAGCTGGCCACTCTGCTGGAGATACTCTATGAATCCATTTACATCCTCACTGACATAGTCCTTTTTACGATTCGTTTTCTTTAAAGCAGTTCCCTGGGGCTGAGTCCTCCGCAGGAGTTCTTTCTGAAGTCCTTTTTCAGATTTTGAGGAGTTAGTGGAGCTGCCACTAGCACGAGCCTCTCCTCGCCCTCTTGTTCGCAGCTGGTTCCATGGAGTGGCCTCAGATGGTTTGTTTCGGTGGATATTGTTAGCTCGGGCCCACCTTGTCATGGTTAAACTGCACCAGTAAAAGATTCAACAGTCAAGGCTATAGTTATGTATATTTACCCCAAGTCCACAATTATTGCAAATTAATTATACAGCAAGGCAAACACAGTATAGCTTATTACATAGATAACCCAAACATATTTTCTGGTGGAACTCAAATAAGATGGAGAACACATGTGAACTCAGTCATATCGATTTACAGTTAACAAGGAAGTTTTCACGATTCATTCTCCGCATTTGTGAGTCTAGAGGTGTAGTGTAGTTTGGGATAATTTCCTGCATTTTGGTGGATTTTAGAGGAGGAAGTCTTTATTCATTTGATATCCAATGGCACAGCAAAGGAAAGTATGAAGACTTTTAAAGGACAGAATATATAATTTCCAGGACATTTTGCATTTCTTCTATGTCTGGAAAACAGGCCAATTATTGTCCAGGTTTTCCTTAATTTCAAGGAATCCTAAAATTGTTCTGACAGAAATATAAGAAGAGATGGAAAAAGCACAATGTTCATGAACTAGCGGTTAACAGTTAACATTAATAAACATTTAAAACAGTCTACTTACACTGCGCTCCTTCGAAGATAAGTAGCAGAAGTAGCAGCGGATCTAAAGGTTTCCCCACCCACAGTTATTGATCCTCGTAACACGTATATCTACATATCAGAATGAAACATTATTATACACCATACATTAAGTAATAATAAACTCGGAGTGGATTAACACACAGTTTTGAGTAAACATCTCTTCTCTTTCCCATGTGCTGTTTTCACGGAAGTTGTTTTTCTTCTTCATCCACAAATAAGTGATGTCTTTTGGATACGCGTTACAGTGACCTCTATCGTTTACTATCGGCAGCTTTTGCTTTCTCAGCGAAGTTAAGTTAATTTACTAAAAAGCTTTTGTTAGTTATTCACTGTATTATAATAATATTGTGTGTACCCACAGAACTGCAGCACTTTGAAATTTAGGAACATTACTTTAGATGAACTTTGAAATGGGAAGCAGGCGGCCTACATAGAAAGATGCACAGGTGAGCCTTGTTTCCTCAGATTGTGAGAGAAGTTGAAAGGAGTGTTTTAGCATCACCCAGAAAAGACCTTGGTAAAAATGCATCTTTGGCTTCTAAATTTTATTATGTCTTTTGGGTGGCCTCCTCATGGTAAGAGAATCAAAGCTTTAATTGTAGTCTGTAACATGATTTAGCATTATTTATTTATTTATTTTTTGTGCAGTTAAAGCAGACCCTGTAAACAGGGGAAATCTCACAGGTAACACACAATATATTCTTTCAGTGATTGATTATACTACTTAGTTTCTTGTGATATATTTAGGCTTTTTTTGTTTTTTGTTTCATTATTATTACAGAACTCTTTTTTGATGAGGTCCACAAAACCTTGCAAATTATGGTAGACAGCCCTGAGACTTCTGAAGGTAAATTTTCATATGCTTTCTTAGACCCAGTTCAAGCAATCAATTTATGATAACATTTTCCAGAGCTACATCATCAAGAGCACACAGAAGAAGGAGACATTATACCATCAGTGAGCCCATATCAAAATCAATCAATATATCATGATTCCAGTACATTATTTTTGTTACTGTGCAGACTGACAGGAATGCAGTGCAGCAAATCTGGCCAACACATGCTATACCATATCAGATAAATGCAGAGATAAGTAAGCAGTTACATTTAACCATAGATGAAAGGACTGTTGTAATTTCATCTTTTCTATTTACAGGAAGGCGTACAAGTGACATATTAAGTGCAACAAAAATGATTTCAGATCAAACTTGTTTAACGTTTCACCCACGTACATCTGAGATTGACTACCTTCATTTCAAAAATGGTGCAGGGTATGGACCGTTCCATCTTGCAAGTATTAATTTGAATTTTGGTAACATTCCTTATCATATTTTCTAGCTGTGCATCTTATGTGGGCTTCATTGGTGGAGACCAACCAATATTTGTTGGGTCTGTGTGCAGCGTGGGAAATATTGCTCATGAAATTTTACATGCGCTTGGCTTCTATCATGAGCACACTCGTACGGACCGGGACGAGTACATTACAATTCTCAACAACAACATCATAAAAGGTAAAAACATAAAATCTGTTCTATTTCAGTGGTTTCCATATCAGTTTATGCACCACTATTTACTACAACCTCAGCCTAAAGTGCACCTTGGTCCTCCTTACATTAATTGTAAATCTTTTTCTGTAAATTTTTTAATCACACTTTTAGATTGTTATTCTAAATTATAACCATAATAATTCTTTGTTTTTGTGAGTTGTTTTAGTTAAATTCTTGTTCTTTAGGAACTGAGCAGAACTTTATTAAGCGACATGGCAACACTTTGAATGTCCCTTATGACACTGATTCCATATTGCACTATGGAAGGTAATTAATGTTTTAATGTTGATGAATTAACGGTTTTCTAGCCTAATTTGCCAATTTTTCCAATAGCTTGATAACAATAATAAATTTCTTTAATTGTCTGACATTTAGTAGATATTTTTCCTCCAATGGCTTACCCACAATTATACCTCTCCATATGACCAAAGCCATGGGGCAGAGGGTGAGGCTGACAAAGTTGGACATAATGAGGGTTCGATTGCTTTATGACTGTGGTATGTAGTGCAAACATGTTAGATTATCTATTGGAGAAAAACAGCAATATTATTAACCATCCTTTTGCAGATTCCTCAAGAAATGTAACTGACCAACAATTACACTGGCTTTAGAGGAAATGATGTCCTGCCCAAACCACTCCGCACCAACTACTTTCCTCCACTAGATGACGCTGAAACACAATGTCTAAAAATGACAAGAGCTTTTTAAAAATAAATTCACAGCTGAAAATTATATTTTCTGTTTTTAAGTAACGTTGAGTACTTTCATTTAAAGGGGACATAGACCTATTATGTGAAATTTCTTTTATGAACTGTTAAATCATTAGCTTCTAAATGCTGTTTTTGGATTGATTAATGCCTGTTTAAGTATTACACTCAAGGCTTGCAGTGGTCAAAACTTTCCTGTTTCCACCTGGCGTATATGTAGGGGAAATGCCACAATGTCAATGCCAAATTTACATTTTTCAGAAATAAAAACACCAAAGTCAATATGCTGCTGGCCATGGTGAAATTTCTGAAAAGGCGGGCCTATCAGTTCTGCCATTTTGAAGTAAATAAATGTTATGCCGTTTTGGATCAATATAGTAGTTTGAAATAGATCACCGTTTTATATTTAGTTTATGTAGGATATAGTGTAATAGGCTACTCAATTTAACTACATTTAATTTACACCAATTAATCTTAGTTTTGTATCAGTAGCTTACATTGTGTGGCTTAATCTTTGTGAAATGCCTAATTTTGATTAATTCGAGAAGAGCTTTCCGAACTATTTCTCATCTGTTAATTAGCCCACCTATGCATCAGCGCAGAAATAAAAGTAATTGTATTCTCACAAATCTCAGTCTTTCCATAAAACCACAAACTATCTCCAAGGTTATGTCCTCATTTAACAAATACAATAGTAGACGTCTGCTCTTTACACACTGTTAACTTCACTGTTTATTTGATGGCTCATATCAAGTGTAAATGTCAGAGTAATTTTCCGCTGTTACCCTGGATGGCAATGCATCTAAAATGGGTAAATATTTAGCAAATAAAACGTTTTGGTTTTTGGAAATTTTGGTTTTGAACAAATAAGATATATCAGTGTTTCAGATCAAAGATCTGTGCGAGCAATAAAACCACAAAGTGAAGTAAATGCAAAACAGTCCAGGTTAATGGCATGCTGTGAAAAGTTAACGCCAACAGTGACGATCTTCGGTCACACTAGGACCCTACCAGTATCATGTAATGCACTGGTTTAGGTTATTGTTTCACTTTGCTTGGGCCAATGACTCAAACATGTGAAAGGAAAAACTTACTTGGTATATTAAAATTCGTAATGTACATGCATTTACCCATCCTCCAATTTTCACTCTGATTCTGAGTGAGGGCAGTTGGGTCCAGCGCAGCCGTGCGCATCGCGCGTCCTCGTTGATCCGCTAACGTCCACATTAACTGTGTGCTTCTCTCTCACTCTCTCCTGCACACACTTTTCCTCTCCTCTCTCCTCTCCGCCAGCAGATCTGTCTCCAGAGTCCGAGGGGAATGACAATTCGGAAGAAGCACAGATGTGGATTTATGCATACATTGACTTCATTGTTTGTTTGCGTTTTTTTTTTAAAGAAAAAAATCCTATAGTCTATTTATAGTCTTGTCTTGTGACAAGGGAGAAGAAACTTAAGCTCTTTAAAAATATATATATATATATATCATTATTATTATCTTTTACTTGATATGATGCACTTCTTAAATTGTTAGGCACACCCCGCACTTCCTTTGAGGAGAAAAGGGGACATGGGTATCTCTACTGAATATCTGACCCCTAACTTCGGGTTAAAAATCAAGATGACAACTTTTCAACTTCAGCTCTCATTTTGCACAGTGAGTAAGCTATTTTTATTTTATTTTATTCCATTATTTTAAACAGTTTGTTGTAATTGGGCTTATGTCTATCTCTTACAGAACTTGGTTACTGGATCTTTATACTGCATTGGACATGTATACGTATATCCCAAATCTAAATATGCTTTTTCAAAGAAATCCTGTTTATAACTTGTGAGGACCAGGACTCTGTAACCATGGCAACTGCCCCAGACACACCCTGCCTTTCTGAGCTTGGGGCACTCCTCTCCAGGAACAAAAGCGTCATCACCCAACCCTGTAACCAGAGCACTGTGAAGATCCCTCACTACTCGCCACAAGCCACTGCTGCCATTGCTGTTTCGATCACATTTATGATGATAGTGACTATTGTGGGTAACATTTTAGTTATTATTGCTGTACTCACATCTCGGTCTCTAAAAGGGGCTCAGAACCTGTTCTTGGTGTCTTTGGCTGCGGCGGACATTTTAGTGGCAACTCTTATAATCCCCTTCTCTCTGGCCAATGAGCTGCAGGGACACTGGGCATTCAGTTCACTTTGGTGTGAGATCTACCTAGCATTGGACGTTCTCTTCTGCACTTCCTCCATTGTGCACCTATGTGCCATAGCACTTGACCGCTACCTTTCCATCTCTAGGCCTGTATCCTATGGCACCAAACGCACCCCTAAACGTATTAAGGCAGCTATTGTTATTGTTTGGCTCATATCTGCTGTAATATCATTCCCACCGTTACTTACATTGGACAAGAGTGAAGGAGGTGAAGAAGTGTGTGAACTAAATGATGAGCGCTGGTACATCCTCTACTCAACGATTGGTTCTTTCTTTGCACCCTGTGTTATCATGATTCTTGTCTATATAAGAATCTATCAGATTGCCAAGAAGCATACCCGCTGTCCACCTGGTAAAAACCACAAGCCTGTGCCAGGATCTGCTGCAGCCCATGAGCATGTGCAAAGGGCAGCTGAGGCTGGACAACAGAATGGAGATAAGCAGGACTTTAATGGAAGCCAACAGCAAAAGGTTCTGAATAAGATAACTCATTTAGATTCTACCCTGACATCACAAAGTAAAATGCTTGTAAACATTACAAAGCAGGATGCTCAACAAAATCCAAATTCAAGTACTGCTGCAATCCTGAAATCCCCCTCCTCCCCTTCAATCCCCCAACACGACAGCCAAATCCTTTCAGCTGTTCCTCCCAAAGACGTGGAGGAAGACAAAGCAGACAAGGTGTCTGGCTCTGGCCCTGAGGTGGAATTGCAAATGGGAGGGAAAATTAATGATGATGAAGAAGAGGAAAAAGAAACCCCAACAATGAAAACCAGTGAGCAGGGTCTGGTATTTTCCAGAACTAAAGGATTCAAAATACACGTTCTAAACTTGGCATGTAGATACAAACACACCATGGCCACACAGACTGGTTCCAAAGTGGTGGTAGAGGAGAGTCCAAACATCCAAGGAACTCCAACCTCACGCCGCAAAGCTATGGTAAACAGAGAGAAGCGTTTCACCTTTGTTCTAGCAGTGGTCATGGGGGTCTTCGTCATCTGCTGGTTCCCATTCTTCTTCACTTATTCCCTGCAGGCTGTATGTCCAGAGACCTGCACCATTCCTAACCCCCTATTTAAGTTCTTCTTTTGGATAGGTTACTGCAACTCCTGCCTCAACCCGGTCATTTACACTATATTTAACAAGGACTTTAGGAGAGCTTTTAAGAGGATACTGTGCAGAGACACTAAGGGTACATTTTTCTAGAAACAATGATGAGCATAATAAACTAACTGAATCACAGATTATAGTTACAACTAATGCACATGTATTTTTATTTCTTGTTGTGCTTTGTCAGTGCAACCTTTACAAGCATTTTTGAAAGCACCAGTCAAGTGGCTGAATCTATCTTCTTTAATGTTATTTCAGGCAAGCTTGTAATTATATATACAATGACTGGAGAAGAAATTATTTGATTATATGTTGAAATCAAAGCCAAATGGATACAGGGTCTGTGTTCAGTCACTTGAAGACTATAAAACTCTGAGAGTGCCCTGTTTGTGTGGCAGAAGAAAACAGAGCCGCGGGGCTTATTGGCAGAGAGCACATATCTCTAAGTGTTCTTGGTGGCAGATGAAAATGGCTCAGAGGAACAGGAGGCTGCATGGGAAATAGGAGTTCAGCACCTTCATCTGGAGCTGAGGCTGGAGACATGGATGGTGATGGATTGAGTTTTTTTTAATCTAGTTTGTCTGAAGCTAGAGATGTCAAAACTCTGTCTGTGTATCCAAAACAGAAGACTGTGGTGAGAAGCATCTGAGAGCAGATTGGTTGTTAATGTGCAATATTCAATAAAAAAACAGGAGGTGAGATAATAAGCGCTCAGCAGCAATACACTGAACTCAGAGCTTGGCCCCGGCGATGTCTCCTTGTGAGCTCTGTTGACTCTACATTCAAAAGTGCTTAACTGTGTGTGGAACTGGCTCTCTTGTATTAGTCTATTATTCATTAATGTAAAATCATAAACCAACTATTGCAACTTTTACCACATCAGTGTTGCATTAAAAGATTCACACATACAGTACACACTATCTGAATTTAATACATTTCTCATATTTATCAGTTATTTTAGTATTTTTCTACATCCACTCAGTAATTTATGTATTAAAATGTGAAGTGATACACACATTATGACAGTGTTTTGACAGGAGCACAAAGTTCAGAAGTTGAATGTTGTGGCCTAAGTGCACTTCTTTGTAATACTCCATTTGCATGTTGAGTAAGATGTGGCCAGAGAATCTTATCTTTGTATATATGTTTAAATCATGCATGTTGTTAAAACCAGTATACATTATTTGTCAATTTTAATGAATAATGATTTTATTTGATAATGCAGGAGCTTTGAATTGTTGCATGTGACTGTAAAAGTGAATGAAAGGCAATACAAAGTGTATTGGGTGTGGGTAATCCCTCTATCAATAAAAACATAATTTTAACTTTCAGAGTATTTTGTGAAATCAAATTTTATGATGATAATTTATATTTACTCTTCACAGATGCACCAAGTACAATAACATAAGCAAAAGCAGTGGCCTACACATTTAGGTTGTATGTATGCCTCATGTGAGCAGCATTGAGCAAACAGAATTTGTAATCCATCCTTTGCAATTATCAAAAAGTAATTCCAGTGAATTTAAATCATGTTTTACACTGTAACGCTGCATGACTCTGCACTGATCTATATATGTATACATTTATTTTGAAGGACTAACAATAAAAGGTTGAAAAAGACATGGTTTTAACAGAGCTTGGGTATACGAGTGGGTGGGAGAGCACTTACAGAGCAAAGAATAATGGAATCATGTCATTTGCCTTTGCTGCTTTCTGTCAGAGATGTTTTCCTAATAAGCTTTGTCTGTTTGATCTTTTCAATCTCTGAGGAAAAAAGAAAACAAATAACTAATAGATGTCATCATGTTATGTTATTTGTATATGACCAACAAGTTGTGGTTTTGTTTTAAATGAATTCATATTTTGTCTTTCACTAGTGAAGTCAACAGGCAGTTTAGACATTTAAATAATAACATCATGTACAAGAAAATGACCAAATGAATGTGTGCATTTATGCTGACAAATGCATAGCTTCAAGGCAGTCACGTTAATGCCTTTTTTACGATGTGATATTAAGCTGCAGCAATGTGATGTTGTTTGTCAGTCTACACAGGCTGCAGGGGTTCACTTCTCACTTCAAACAAATCAATACTTATACATATCAAACATTTAGATTTTTCTTTGTTCAAGAAAATAAATTTTGTGATTTACAACTTGAACATGTTCACATGCTTCCACACTTACAAAACAATCATCTTTTAATAGCTGATGAGCGTGACGGTTTGTAGCATGAGAATTCATAAACACCTGGAAGGAGAGGTGCTATCAATAATTTAGCCCAATTACATATTGATGTGTAGTGGCTATAAAGATTCCATTGCGTGGCAGTTATTTAAACTTGTAAGCAGTTTCCAGCATTTCCCATGAGCCATGTATGTGGTTACTGTTTTAACTTGGTACCTCTGTCAATAATGTATGTGTTTACAAATGTGTATATAGGCTGTAGCCCTAGCTACTTCAGGCATAATATGCATTGTGATGAAGTTGAGATAGACAGTCTATGCTTTCTTCATTTGAACATATATTACTGTATCAGATGTGTCACAAAATTGTTACATACAAATAGTCTGTTTCAAAATACAGGGGAAAAAAAGTGCAGCCATAATGCTCAATTTGTTGTCAATTCTAAAGCTGACAGCTTTCAACATTTTATGGGCTTGCTGGAGAATACACTACATCTAATACAATTACTGTGTTAAATCTGTGTGAAAATATGTTGGTGGGTTCTACATCTTTATTCAAAAAACCAAAAAGGTCTAGTTGTTCACACAAAACAGATGTTGAGCAAAGTGTTCAGCGATTCAGTCCGTCACAATAACATAATGTGGCTCGTGTTTGTCTTTTTTTCTTCTGCATTTTATAGCCTCTTTTTGTGTTTTGAGCTTCTTGTTGACTGATGCTCAGGTTGGTAGAAGCCAGTCAGAGGACCTGGAGGAGAAGCGAGGCTGGTATTAGGCATCAGGTGCGTGACTCACTGTAATCGTCTGACATCAAGTCATGGTCATGCAGCTTCCCCAACATGAAGGACATACAGAATTCTCTGAGGTACCATTTGAGATAGCTACTTTTTGCTTTTTTCTGTTAATGTATTTGGACAATGTTGAAATGATTAAAGAAGCTGTGTTAGGTGAGGACAGTGCTGTGTATGTGTGAATGTGTGTGTGTGTAATAATGTGATTGAGTTAAAACAAATAAGGATGTTATCCCATTAGAAAGTAGCCGTAGTGCTGGAGGCTCTGTGCTGACATGGTTAAATGTCAGAGCAGATCTCAGTACAAAGTAATAGGATGAGAGTGAAGGGACATAAAAACACACCCACACACCTTTAACTGGCCAATAGCCATGATGTTATGGGGGATCCCAAAGTGTTCCCCGACCAACCAAGACATCCTTCATAAAACATTTTTACAATCAAAGTCCTTGTTTCATTTCAGAATATTATTATATTCAAATTAAACAAAAAATGAATTCATATTTTTACAAATTCTTCTTTGTCTTACACTTTATACAGGGACAGGTCACACAGGCAGAAATGCACACTTCCCTTTCTACTCACATATCCTCCAGCATTTTCAGAGTGATCCCAAGACAAGGCTGAGAGACATAGTCCCTCCATCATGTCCTTGTCTTCTATGGGACTCCCTCCTGGTGGTTCATGCCCAAGGGGAGGCAACTGAAGGAATTCAGAACAGAGCTGTCTCAGCTTGCCCCTCGTGACGGGGAGGAGAAGAGGCTCTATTCCGAGCTCCTCCTGTGACTGAGCTGCTCATATTATGAACCCAGCCACCCTGCAGAGGAAACAAATTTCAGCCACTTCTATCCATCATCTTGTTCTTTCGGTCATTACCCAAAGACCATGACCATATGTACAGCTTTGCCTTTCGACTCACCTCCTTCACCAGTCTTCAACCGTCTGATATAGCAACCACATCACAGCACATGCTACAGACCCACTTGCAAATTGTTTAAAAATATAATTTGCTAGAATAACAGTGAATACTGAAGGTGTCCAGGGTGCCACAAAAGGCTTCCCTGTGATGAAGGAACAACAGCTTTACTTTAAATTCCTATCCTTATGACTGTATCACTACCTCCAAAATAAACATTACCGTAAAGAATCAAGCAAGAGCTGCTGAAATACCCTTACTTCTTGTTTGCTCTTAATATAATCACTTTGCATGCCTATTTTATATGCCTATTTTTTAGGCTCTTCAGGGACTCAAGTGCACTTCTAAATGGTGTGAAAAAGACAAAGTACCCAGGAAATGCTAAGTGCTATGAGTATTTTTAGTGAAACAATGAGGTCCTAACATGCTTTGGAGAGAATGAGTGATTTGAAGTAGCACATTATTGATTTTTGGATGAGATCCCGGGTGAATGTTTACATGACTGAATCTCGCAGAGGGCTTAAGGTTACAGCTGTTGCTCATGCATTTATTCTGCTGTAAGTTGTGCAATCCTTTTGAAATAATGCATTGTGCTTATGGTACACATCTTGGCGTTCACACAGGCACACATTGCATGCTCAAATCTCTGAAGATGGGTTTGGGCACTTTTTAACTTGAGTGGTTGTTATGGTGCATGGCCACTTCAAACAGCCATCTGTCCAAATAAACAGATTGACATTAATCCAGTCCCTGATTACATCCCAAGAGTACTTGCTAAAGGAAAACCTAAAATATAGTATTTTAATCCACATTTCACTGTGAGAATATGGAGTTCAATGTTTCAATCTTTTTGTAAGGCAGTTACCATTTTCAGACCCCATACTTGAGCCTTTTTGGATTTCTCTTAGCAAAAGGCAATCACATGTGATGGTGCTCAATACTTGATCCCTACTCCTATCATGTTTCCCTGGAGCAGGTCTTGAAATGTTACCTTCAAGTCACTTAGAGAGGACTGTGCAGGTCTACTTTTCTTTAGGTTATTTTCTTGTCTCTCATTCTTCTTTGTCTACTTCTTTGTCTCTTTACTAAAATATAACTCTAAATTTATTTGACTGTCACGCCATAATGAGACATTTTCTGTATTCTGTATTTTCTGTATGTATCAGATGATTTTATTAGTCATGACTAACCAGATGTTTGGTGATTTGG